GGCAATTCTCCTGCCTCAGCCTCCTGAGTAGCTGGGATTACAGGCACACGCCACCATGCCCAGCTAATTTTTTGTAGTCTTAAGTAGAGACGGGGTTTCACCATGTTGACCAGGATGGTCTCGATCTCTTGACCTCGTGATCCACCCGCCTCGGCCTCCCAAAGTGCTGGGATTACAGGCTTGAGCCACCGCGCCCAGCCGGTGAAAGCATTTTTAACAGCAAAATCAGAAAAAGAATCCAGGCATCCTGACCATTAAGTTCTGTGTTCTTACAAAACCTTTACCACTAAGTGAAAAATCAAAATATCATAATAATAAAAACCAGTGATGCTTAATCAATATTTTCATATTTAGCATATAAATGTTTCCAAAGTATATAAAGGAGTTTCTGAAGATTTCAGTACTCCGAGAACACCTACAAAGAGGAGTTAAATACTTACTGAGTTTCTCTAGCTCAAGCCGCAAGCTCTGACACTCTCGGGTTTCATTCACGAGTCTCTCTTGACTGTGGGACAGCCTCTTTTCTATCTCAAAATACTGTTGTTCTGCAGCAGACAAGCAAACAACAAAAAAGAAAATCAAACACAGGTACATACATTGTCAATAGTGGTATTTATTTCTAATAACCTTGATTTTAAAATGTAAGATATAGTATTAGAATTGCACTCCAAGTAAGAGAATGAGTAAAGATAGACTGAGCACTGAAAGAGACTTAGTAGCATTTCCAAATGACTTACATGACCAAAAATAAAAATAAGGCCTAAAAGGGGCTTTACAAATGAATGTCTTCAAGGTAGGTAATACGTCTCATCTATCTTAGTATTTTCCCCAGACATCAGTAAACTACTTAGCATAAAGTATTTATTAAATGGGAAAAAATTGTTTAGACAAAAAAAACTCCTTTGTTTTAAAAGGCTTCTTTTAAAGCAGTCAAGATATTACTTGAAAAAATCAAACTACTAAATTTATGTAAAAGTAAATATGTAAACTTCCCAAGGGAAGGAATTGAATATCATGCTCAGTATAGTATCAGGAACATGTAAGACACTCAATATTTACGGGGCAAGTTAATAAATAGAATGCAATGTACTATACTCAGCTCTGGGATCAGAGAACTAATTTTCAAGGTCAATTCTGCTTGACAGTTACATCTTTTTTTGAAGTAAAAATTTGTTCAGAATTTCCAGTCAACATAGCAAGAACAATATTAACCTTCCCAAGCAAATGGTAAACCAAAACACATTAACAGGAAGTTTGTATTTTACTAATGGTAATTACTATATTCTTCATATTTTTTCAAGGATGTTCAAGCCATTATTGTCAGTAACTTTCACACTTACAGACCTACTTCAGGTAATTCCGAGAAAATTTTAATGTTTTCTGTCAAACTCCAACTTTTTGAGACAAATCAGATATGTTAGACTTATATACTGCATGTTCACTGTGTTTCCAGTCCTCTTATGCACCTAATGTCCATTTTTATAAACATCGAATTCGTTCTGGGGCCACAGGACGACGCACACACTAAGAACAAGTACACAGAGTGGTCAGCTTGGCAAAGGCCTTAGAATGCAGGTGACTAGAAAACAGGGCGGAGTCACTATCAGCTGAAATGCAACGAAACATGTAAGGTTCTCCAGACTCAGAGAGATGGGTTCGCAGGCTCTAGCAAGTCTGCTTCCCGTTTGTTCGACAAAGCTAAGCGTCCCTATAGGAGCCTAGCCTAATTACAAAGAAAACAGTACTAAACTCAAGATTCAGATTTGTTTTAAAAAAGGCTTCTTATCAAACCGTGAGGGGCAGGCAAGCGAAGGCTCAGGATATCCAGAGCCCAGGAAGTGAGGTTAAAAGCGTCGTACCCAGTTCCAACTTGCTAGGGGGAAGATCGGACCCAAGAGCGGGAGTCGAGCCGGGAACCAAGGGCGGAAAGAGCATCTCACTTACCGCTCTCCACCTTAAATTTCTCGTGCCGCCCCTTCAGGCCATCGATCTCGGACTGCTGATCAGCAAGGAACTTTTCAAGTTTGTTCTGGACGGACTTGGGCAGCTTGCTCAGCTCTGTGCGCTCCAGGACTTGCTGCAACACCGCCGCCATGTCGGCGGGGCCACGAGCCCCAGTGGCAGTGGCTGACGGGGTAGAAGCGGAGAAGAAAGGCGGAGACCAGGAGGACCCAGACGCCTGCGCCGCCGCCTCTATCACCTCGCTCGGCGGCTCGCGCGCGCCAGCCCGCCGGAGACTCCCGCGGCGGGACCCTGGGAAATCGAGTCCAGCCTCAGCGGCGGCGGCGCCTCAGCGACAGCACCAGCCCGCCCGCGCCCGAAGTGCGCGCGCAGCCCTCGGAAGCTGCGCACCCTGGGATTCCGAGTTCAGAGGCGGCCTCTGATCCTCTCGCGCACCCAATTTTCCGGCTTCCAGCTCCACCCACTTCAGGCGTTGCAGGCCTCTGGGAAACGTAGTGTTTTTCTCACTCCCCACCGTGAGCCCAATTCCGCACTGCCCTTTCCGTTTCCGCTTATCTCCGCGCTCCCCCGCCCCCCGGCTCTCCTATCTCTGCCGCTCAACCGCTGTCCGCGCGGTGGCGCCACATACGTACTGGTCACCCCACGGTCCTCCCTGAGGAGCTGGTGACCTTACCGTCAAAGCCCCGGGATGCCATGGGTCGTCCTCTTGGGCGGCTTCTAGACACTGAGCCACTAGAGGGCATCGGTCCCGGCAGGGCCGGACGGCAGGCTCCGGGCTACCGCCACGCTCTTAATGGCGCCCAGAAGGGGGCGGGGTGGCGACCGCAGTCGCTTTGGCTGAGGCTCTGCGGTGAAGGGAGGGGGGCGTTGTACGTCATCAGTCTGCGCCACCTGACTCCCGAGACCCTGGCTTTGGAGTGGGAAGTGAGGTGTGGGAAGTAGGTCGCTTTCTGATGAATTAACTGGCAGTGAACTGAGAGCAGAAGGAATCTGGCCGCCAGAGGCTGGTACTTGCACCTGAACCCCCATCTCCGGCGAACAGACAGTCCGACGCATATTGTCTGCCACGAGTGCACATTCTGAAAACAGGTAAGTCAGCCTGAGTGTAATACGTGTGTGTGTGCGCGCGCGCGTGCACTGGAGCACACAGCTCCCTTTTCAAGCGAAAAAGGAAAGGACAGAGTGTTGGAAACGTGGACAGTCACTCCGGCATACACTTCTGACGAACTTACCTTGTGTGAAACGGCGTACCTTTTTGGCGGTGAGGAGGTGATACTTAGTGGTTGAACAGGAATTTAAGGAGCCGGGTTAATTCTTGAGGAGAATTAAACCAGTTGCACTTTGAGTGTAGCCTATGTTTTCGTTGCAGAAACTGTTACCTAACATACTGTTTTTAAGATGGAAAACTGTCATAACTGAAGTTTTTAAACATATTCTTAATTGCTTCAGTTAACAACTTGTACGTTTCCAGATCATAATTCTGTAAATTTAAAGCTCAATCCGTAGATTGTTTCGTGTTTAATTACTCTTCCGAAAGAGTTTATTAAATTATTGATTGTAAATAATGCATTCCCAATGTCGTTCTCTCTGCAGTTCCCGCAGTCGTGGGTCTTCTGTGAATTGGTGATTTAGTTCTTATGTAAAATTTATTCTCTTTTTCTCTAGTTCTTACTTTTGAATCATGCGAGGCTAAGAAATATAAATGGAAGCATTTTATGGTATTTTGTAATAACTAAGAAAAAATAAATCATCAACAGAGCTTAAGATTGATTTTTCCCAAAAAATATTTTTTAGGTAAGCTCCGTAATTAAAGTTGCTGGTATATGGAGTATTATGCTATGTCCTAGGCCCACAATATTATCATACCGATGATCTGTCATTTGGGAAATGTGGATTTTCTGTACTTAGATTCACAGAATCCTAAAATTAGATAGGTTTTCAGATCTGCTAGGATCCAAATTCTTTATTTCATAGATTAGAAAACCAAAGTCCAGGAGGGTTGAGTTGTTTGAGTCACAGTGCTTGGACCACAAAGGCTTTGACTGATATACAACATTTCTAGAAAATTATGACCGTGCAAGGCAAGATACAGTTGTCCCTTGGTATCCATGGGCCATTGGTTCCAGGACCCTCACCCGTCCATCCTCATGGAAATCTGTGGATGCTCTACTTCCTTATATTAAATGGTATAGCGTTTGCATACCTTAAATCATCTCTAAGTTACATACTATACCTAACACAATGTAAATGCTATAGTTGTTATATTGTTTAGGGAATCATGACAAGAAGAAACATCTTTACACTAACAGTACAAATGCAATCATTTTTTTTTTTAAAAATTAAAATCTGTGGTTGGTTGAATACATTGACGTAGAGACCACAGATACAAAAAACTGACTATATACATTTTTAGTATTACCTTTTATAAAGTTTGGTTGACTACATTTAAAAATTTTGAAGAGCACTAAAGAAAAATTTATCAGACATTCTATCAGATTTCATAATTGAATAGATTTTCATCTCATTATTGCATTCAGTTTTTTACACATTAATATGGCTACAAGGTGACACCCTAGAAGAAATAAGGTTAGAAGGTTAAATATCATAACTTTGGAATTACTTCTATTTGTTGCAAGAATTAAAAATTATTAGAGCAGAAGGAAAAGAAGTATAATATGCCGAAGTAGAGGAAAGTGAATACATAGAAATGCATACCTGAAGGCATTACTAAAGGTTAAAAGCCCTTAACTTCATAGAGGCATCAATGATGTTTAGACAAGCATTCCTAGACTTCATCTCTAAAACATGATGTGCAGATCTGATTCACATGTACTGTTGTCAAAAAAGAGCTAGGAAGAAATTAATGTATTTTGAGAGAAAACTGAACAAGCTCTTTGAAACAATAATTAAACAGCATCCAATAGGACATTTCAAACTCAATCCATACTCGGGTTTAGTTTTAAAATGCAAAAATCAGATCTATCTGATACCAGTACATCTGTCAGTCACAAGATGGTTTTGCATATCTCTAGTAGCCTTAGCTTTGTGGTACTGAATAAGATTCACATTTTTACCAAACCCAAATGATGATTATTCCTAAATTGCAGTGTTCAAAATACTGCAACTGTGTTCCTGCTTTGTTTGTTTTACAGTCTCTGTTCGTTTTACAGCTCTTTTGGATATCATCTCTTTTACATTTTCATCCTCACTGCTTATGAGTTCCTTGATTTAATAATTTATTATATTGCCTAACTCTTTTATTCAATATCTTTGGTTGTAAGCTACAGAAATGCAAATCAAAGGAGCATAAGCCAATAGAGAGAATTGAATATACTGATTTCCATCCACAAACCAGAGAGAAAGCAGAATAAGAGCTACCCTTAGTAATGATTTAATTGAGGGACTGGTTTCTATTCCTCATTATGAGTATGGTGTTGAAAAACACGAATTCTGGAGCCAGAGTATCTGAGTTTAAATCCGTCCTTTGCCACTTAACCAGCTTTGTCACTTTGGCAAGTTATTTAATCAACTTCTCTCATTTCATCTCTCATTTCTTCATCTATTAAAGGATGATTATAATAATAGTACCTACTTCCTGGGGTTTTGTGATTTATTAATATTACATGGAAAGTACTTACAATAATGCCTTGTACAAACTAGAAGCTATATAAATGTTTGTTGTTAATTGTATTGCTGTTTATTCGCTTAACTCTCGCGGTAGTATGTGTTGCTCAAGGACAGAGATCATGGTGCTCATCGTTGTGTTATCCCACTCAGCATAGTTTCTAAGCAAATAGTATAGTTCTTTCGTATATGCTTATCAAGTAAATGAATTTGATTCTTTCTGCCTCCCAATGAGCTATTCAGAAATTCATGTTTACTGTTTAAGCAGTGAGAACACTGAGACTTAGCAATAGATTATCAGAGATAATACAACTAAGGAGTAGATCTAAAATAAGAAATCTGGTATGTTGCTTGCTAGTTTAGTATCCCCTCCCTTATCCCAGGAATGAGAAAAAGGTTTGAACTCTCATGTCAGCTCTGGTTGATTGTGGTTGTTTCCTGCTGCACTGTGTCGAGAAGAACTCTGGAACTGCATGTGAACTTTGCAAGATGGAATGCCCTATGTAATAAGCATTTGCTACAAGGCATGTGACAGCATCAGGATAGTACCACTTCTCTTGCTGTCGTACTCCCATGATAAAAACATTGCAAATGATATTTCACCTAAAAATGCTGTATCTTTTTTTTCTTGTAATATAGGAGATTAATTTAGTTCCCCAAAATGGGAAGAACCTACATTGTAGAAGAGACTGTGGGCCAGTATCTTTCAAACATAAATCTCCAAGGAAAGGCTTTTGTCTCTGGCCTTTTAATAGGACAGGTATGTATCTTTTACTCTGCATTTATTACTAAATAATTACTCTGTAATTTATTAAAACAAATTACCTGTTTATTTAAAGTTAAAAGATGCTAGTTAATAACAAACTCAAGGTTGGAGGATGGAAGGAAGGCTTGTAGAAGAAGTAATTTTAAAGTAGATCTTTAAGGAAACATGGAAAAATAGATGGACCTAGCCCGGGTTTGCTCAAGTCAGGACACCTTCCCCTTTGACCATGTAAAAGTAATTTATAAGGTGGAAACTTCAGAATTAGAATGTTTATTGACCAGATTATTTACATTTTGTTATCTTTTCAAAGTGTTTTGTACTCCCTTCTCATCTTTCTAATTTCTGGTTGTCTAATTCTTTACAAAAGGAGCTTTTGAAAGTTTTATTTCCATTCTAGTTTGTCTTGTCTTACCCCAGACTTACAGCAGCAGCGGTCATATTTTTGTTATATGCTATAGTACCCATTTTATTTATTTTTTTTTAATGTTGGATCAATAGGGAGGGAAAGGGATTGGGAAAAATTTGGAATTTAGACAAATTCTATTATCCTCTTAGAGCTAAGTCTTAAAAATCAAGGCAAAATGGAACAGAGATTCAGATGCTTACTTTAAAATGCATAAACAGCCACTGATTTATTACGAGTGAAGGAAGAACCTGTTCATCAGCAGGAGGGACTAGTCAGCAGTACAAAGCAAAAAACAAAAAAGGAACTAAACCTCTTAGTAGGAAAACTTTCTTTCTAGACATCTTAGCCTAATGCCTTAGAATCTTCAAATTGCATAATTAACTTTTCTTATTCTGATTTTATCAATATTCCCAAGCTACTTTATTTTATAATTTGATGCCCCATGTTTTATCTATTTGTAAAGAAAACACTGTCCAGAGGACTCATGTGTTCAGATGCCTTCATGGCATTTTAGTTTCCTACATCATTCTGAATGAACTTAGTTAATGTCAGTCTAGCCATGAAAAGACAGGCTCATTTTCAGAATTTTTATAAATCAGATTTCTTAGTTTGCAAGACAGTTGGCAAATACACACGGTTCAAGCAGGTAGTACCACCCTGTGAGGCCTCTCATGAGATAGCCAGACTGCCTTTCTTGAGAACAGTGTGAATTTCTTTTTGATTCAGGTTACTTAGGATGTAATGTGCTAAACTCTTTCTGTTAGGAGTTTTCTATTAAGTTTTTTTCCTTCTCTTTGTTTAAACTATTTAAGGGAAGAAAAGTCTTAGAGAAAGATATGATCAGTAGAGATAAAAAGTCAAAGAGAAAGACCCTGTTCTAAATTTGTCTTAACTGGATCAAGGTTGTTTCCAAAGCTCAGCAAAAACTGCCATCTTACAAATGAGTGTCTCATAATTTAGGATCTTCCTTCCATCTATCTTTATGCTGCCTTTTCATTCCTTTCAGTATTCTATGTTCTTTTTCTTCCCCTTTCTTCCAGAGTTTATTGCTTTTTCTTCTCCTTCCACTTAAGCTTACCTGTTTCCTGGTCTCTGTCAGTTTCTTTTTCTTTTCCAAATTGTACATTTTATGAAAAAAAGGGGAGTCTTCTTAATCAAGGCCTACCTTTTTTTCCTGTTTATTTGAATGTAACTTCCTGAAAATAACTTGTAGGAATAATTAGTCTTATTTTCTATCCCAAGATGATACTAATGATCAGAGTTTCAGGTCATGTGTGAGGATGATACCACGCTAACTTGTATTATCAGCCTTATTTTCACTCTTTTTTATAGGAAACTTCCACTCTAGTGAACTGAGCTATTAAATGTTCCCTGCATTTATTTTTAGATCTCCCGCCTTTGGTTACTATCTAACTACTGTTACAACTGAAGAACAGACTGGGTGTGGTGGCTCATGCCTGTAATCTCAACACTTTGGGAGGCTGAGGTGGGAGGATTGCTTGAGGCTGGGAGTTTGACACTAGCCTGGGAAACACAGCAAAACCCTGTCTCTACAAAAAGTTAAAAAAAAAAGAAAGAAAAAGAAAAAATTAGCCAGGTGCTGTGGCTGGTTGTTTGAGCCTATAGTCCTAGCCACTTAGGAGACTACTTGGGAGGTTTGCTTGAGCCCAGGAGTTCAAGGTTACAGTGAGCTATGATCTCCAGCCTGGGCATTACACACACACACACACACACACACACACACACACACACACACACAGAGAGAGAGAGAGAGAGAGAGAGAGAGAGAGAGAGAGAGCGCGCAAATAACCCCCTTGAAGAACATAGAATCTGGTATCACTTTGAATTGTGTCCCAAATCCCCTTTGCTATTCTGTGGAAATTTATATGGAAGTTCCCCACTGTCATCATTTCAGTTAAAATAAGATATAAAAGGTCACTTGTTATTTAATTTTACTGATATTTTATGTTTGTTAAACATCCAATCTGTTCGAATAATTTATGAAACAAATATAATTAGAAAACTGAGTAAGCATATTGCTTTTTAGTTAATATAATTCATTCACTCATCCAGTAAGCCATTTTTAGGGACCACTCCGTGATTTACATTTGGGTTGTCCAAATAAATGAGAAGGTGATATTAAATATGTTAAAAGATAAGGCCGGGCACCGTGGCTCACCCCTGTAATCCCAGCACTTTGGGAGGCTGAGGCAAGCAGATCACAAGGTCAGGAGTTCCAAACCAGCCTGGCCAACATGGTGAAACCTTGAACAATGAGAACACATGGACACAGGGAGGGGAGCACCACACACTGGGTTCAGTCGGGGGGAAATAGGGGAGGGACAGTGGAGGGTGGGGAGCTGGGGAGAGATAGCAAGGGGAGAGATGCCAGATGTAGGTGATGGGGAGGAAGGCAGCAAATCACACTGCCACGTGTGTACCTATGCAACAATCTTGCATGTTCTTCACATGTACCCCAAAACCTAAAATGCAATAAAATAAATAAATGGGAAAAAAAAATACAAAAATTAGCTGAGCGTGGTGGCAGGCACCTGTAATCCCAGCTACTTGGGAGGCTGAAGAATCGTTTGAACCTGGAAGGCAGAGGTTGTGGTGAGCCGAGATCACATCACTGCACTCCAGCCTGGGCAACAAGAGCAAAACCTCATCTCAAAAAAAAAGAGAAAAAAGATAAACAACATGTGAGGGAAAGGTTGTAAGGCCATCCTAGAAAAATAGCTTCCCCCCAGTTTCCACTATAATATGGGTATTAATGATTTAATTTGTTCCAAATATTACTCAGTTTGTGTATGTCATAAGAGCTAAGGAATCAGGTATTGCTCTTATCAGAGTGAGGAGTCAGGTATCACCCTAACAAGCTTTTATGTTTCATTTTTGAAGTGTTCTTCACAAAAGGATTATGTGATTCTTGCCACTAGAACGCCACCCAAAGAGGAACAAAGTGAGAACCTCAAACATCCCAAAGCTAAGTTGGATAACTTGGATGAAGAATGGGCCGCAGAACATGCCTACCAGGTTATCTTATTTTTCTTAAGTTTTATTTCAAAAAAGAGCTAGAGTCAAGAAGATTTAGTGACTGAGTAAGAAGAAGAGACATAGGGAGAGAGCAGCTAAAGATGACTGAGATTTTTAGCCTGGGTGTCTAGGAGGATAGTGTTGGCATTACCTGAGGAAGAAACAGATTTGGGATGGGTGAATGGGAATAATGACTAAATTAGTTCACTTACAAGTATTTGTTGAATGAATTATATATCATCTAATAAAGAATGTTAGAATAGGGTAAAAATAGAATTATTTTCTTTTCCAGGGTGGGCGGTGAGGGGAGGGAACTTAGAAGATGAGTTAATAGATGCAGCTAACCATCATGGCACATGTATGCCCATGTGACAAACTTGTGCATTCTGTGCATGTATCCCATTTTGTTTTTTTTTTAAGAAAAGGGATTTTTTTTTTTTTAAGAAATAATTTTTTTCCTTCAAATCAACTTTAAATATTTTAAACTGAGACATGTGTTTCTTTGTATGTAAACATATATACGTGGACAAATCTCTGTGTCTGTGTTTGTAATTATGGGGCAGTATATAGTTAAAAAGAAATCCCACCTGTAATCCCAGCACTTTGGGAGGCCAAGGCGGTTGAATCACCTGAGGTCAGGAGTTTGAGACCAGTCTGGCCTACATGGTGAAACCCTGTCTCTATTAAAAATGCAAAACATTAGCCATATATGGTGGCGGGTGCCTATAATCCCAGCTACTTGGGAGGCTAAGGCAGGCCTGGGTGATAGAGTGAGACTCTGTCTCAAAAAAACAAACAAAAAGAAATTCAAGAAATATTTAATTATTATTGTTTTAGTCCATTTGTGTTACTATTAAGGAATACCTAAGACTGGGTAATTTATAAAGAAAAAAGGCCTGTTTGGCTCATGAGTCTGCTGGGTGTAAGATTGGACATCTGGTGAAAGCCTCAGGCTGCTTCTATTCGTGTCAGAAGGCAAAGTGGAGCTGGTGTATAGAGATCATATGGCCAGAGAGGAAGCAAGGTGGTGTGAGGTGCCAGGCTTTTTTAACAACCAGCTCTCCTGGGAACAAATACAGCAAGAACTCATTCATTGCTGAGGGGATGGAAGCAAACCATTAATGAGGGATCTGCTCCATGACCCAAACACCTTCCATTAGGCCCCTCTTGGGTTCACATTTCAGCATGATGTTTAAGGGGACAAACTTGCAAGCTATAGCAGCTGTCTTCTAAAGAAAATATGAAGTATTGTAAAGTTAAATTCCCAATGGTTTGTAAATAACTTTCTACTCTAATTTTGCTTTTGGTCTCTCATAAAATTATATATGAGACACACACCACACACACACACACACACACACACACACACACACACACACACACATACACACACAGAGAGAGAGAGAGAGAGAGAGAGAGAGTTAATATGAATGAATTTATATGGTTAATTAGCTTAACCTTTAACCTCTAGAAAGAAAAGGTTAATTTTACTTTTTTTTCGCCTTTCTTGCCTTCACCGCCATCTCCTAAGAAATGGTTAATTTTTTACGTTGGTGATTTTGAAAACATATGCAGGCTCCCTGTGGTAAATATGAAAACTTTGTTAGAATTGCATTACTATAGTAAGTAGAATTTATTAAATCAGAAGAAACCACCAGCAGACATAATGCAAGTAGATTAAGGATTAAAGTATGGTATCTAATTTTCTAAGACTCTACTCTGGATTGATTGCTTATACATTAAATAAACAAAAGCTGACTGAAGCACTCTAATTTCTGAGTATAGATGGTAGAAAAATGCCCATGTGGTATTAAGAACTGGCCACAATCGTGTGAAGGGAAATACAGATATGGAGATATCGTGGTAACATGTATCAAAAATCTAAATGTGTGTAACTTCTTAACCTACTTGTCCACCTCAAGGGATTTGTCCTAAACAAATAATCCCATGAATGCAGAAAGATGTACTAGGATTTTTAATCAATATTATTTTAAGGTAAAATTAGATATAACATAAATGCCCAATGCCAGTAAATGGGTTTAAAAATTTGAGGTAGATCTATGCAATAGAAAGTAATGGATTTTCAAGTCAGACTCCCTCTGTTCAAATTTCAGATCTAGTATGCTGCTAAAAATAGGGATACAAAGGTAGAATTACTTGTTTCCTTAAGGAGCTCCCTGACCAATTGGTAGGGTTCACAGATAACTATAACATAAGGCTGTGTGATAGTCCATGGCAGAACTACACCGAAGCCTTGTGAGGTTCAGAGGTCAAAGGATTAGAGAAGGCAGCTTCCTCAAGCTGCCTTTGAAGTATCCAGTAGAGGTGAGACATTTAGCTGCTGGTGAGAGGCTGTTGAAAAAAATATTTTAGTCTTTGATCTCCTGAGAAAGGGGTTTATTTATTTATGTAGCTAAAGGATGTTATTATCAGATAGTTTTATTTATAAAGTAGTTTTAAGGTGAAAAGCTAAGGACACTCTAGGAAGACAGTTTCTCAAACAGAAAGGATTGCATATAATGCCAAATGCTTCTGTTAGCTAATACTTTATTTCTATTTTTAGGTATCCAGAATGCTACCAGGAGGACTTTTAGTTCTTGGAGTATTTATTATTACTACTTTAGAAATTGCAAATGATTTTCAAAATGCCCTGCGTAGAGTAAGTGTGATATTTAAAAAATTCTTAATAAAATTAGAGTTATATGTTATTTTTATTGATTATGAGTATATATAATAATTCTAAGCATATTAAGATCTGTTTTCCATAATTCTTTTTGCTGGGGTTACACTGAAAGAGCTTTTTTCACTCAATTGCTTGGATATCTTAAGTGTAATAAATGTTTATATTTTTAATCAAAACTACGTATTTTAAAATAGTCTTTATTTTAGAGATAATTTCTGACGAGTAGGAAACAAGTTAGAATGCTTTAACCGTTTTTCTTGTGCAATAGCAGTATTCTGCCACACCTTTCACTTAGTACCTAGTGATTGTTACAGGAAATTAATAAGTACTGAAATTCTTTTGTCTTTTCAATTCTCCCAAGATCCTAAGAGTGAAACATAAAGAAACAATCAGATTATTCCTGGACACAGTATCTGTCAGGAATCTCCTGTGTTTTTGGCTTAATTACTGCACCAGAGATTTGGGTAACATAATCTAAAATATGAAGGTCCACAAGCTGTTTTCCCTTAAACCCAACCCTAAGGTAAACTCTGTGTAGCCAGCTATCATCTCTTTTAGCATTCATGATCCACGTAAACTTTTTGAAGCGTATTTCATACCCCGAGAGAGAGGACCTTATAATCTTGAGAAGTATAAAACCCCAAAGTATCCCAGAAAAAAAACGTTTTTTAGGTAAAAAAAAAAAAAAGTGTGCAGCTGAGAACTTCAGATGTTACAGATTTTTTCAGTCTTGTAACCTCTCCTGTCAGAAGTCCCAGTCTCAAGACTTTGATATTTGCACCTAAAGGAGTAAGGGAAGAAAATGGAGATATTTTCCTCCCTATTAAATTGTTTAACCCTTTGCCAATTTTTCCATCTTAAATAAATTTGCCTCTTTCACAATTGTTCATTTCTTTTGGCATTTTGAACTTTAACCTAAACCTATGCATATTTAATATTACTAGCATTGATTGTGCACCCTTTTGTGGCTGGTGCTGACTTGAGCTGGGTGAATGTGGGCCTGGTGCTAGAGATACAGCCAGGTCCACTTTCCTTTTGCTTTTATATCTTTTGTTCCTAAGAAGCATATAGAAATGCTTTATCTCTGAAATTACTGACTTTCAGTTATCTGTTTCCATTGGCTTACATTGGCAAACACTATAAGAATCAGCCTTATAAAACTTGTCAGTGTCACCAATTATTGTGAAGAACTTTATTCATTATATTACATTAATACTGTGTTTCTGGAAGAAATTTCTTTTTGTATTATGAAGAAAGTTGTGCCTCTTCTGATTATTGTTTGTTTTCAGCTTACAGGCCATGTGAATTAGGTTACAGGTTAGATTCATCTCTGCATATTATTATTAGAAAGCTTAGAGCCAAATATATTACCACTCCTTATATGCATTTTTATACGCATTTTTACAGTTCTCATTTCTGACACAAATTTATGTCACTATTCTACTTTTTTAACTTTTAATGTATGTTATTACTATATTTTGTCTGTCTTTGTATATTGCCTTAAGTCTTTTGTGATATTTAAATAATAAATGCTAAATGAGTGAGATGCTCAATTTCTTTCATTAAAATCACTGGTCATTTCTCACTTTAATTAAAATAAAGTCTCTATTCTATAGTTTATGTAAAGTCTACTTGCTCCAAATTAATTTTTCATGTACAGTTAGTCAATAATGACAGTGAATTACATTTTTCTATTTAAACCCAATTTTTTATAAATTCCTAAAAAAGGGAATTCAAAAAGGTTAATAATTAGTTCCAGTCTTTAATTTGAAGAAAAGAAAAATTGGTGGTGGCACACGCCTGTAGTCCCAGCTGTGAAATTTTAAAGCTAGATGAGAGTAGGGGACATTAAAATTACCTATTTTAACACTCACCTTTTTTTCATTTTGTATTCAATTGATATGTGTTTTTCTCTTTTTCAGCTAATGTTTGCTGTGGGAAAGTCTATAAATAGAAAGAGACTGTGGAATTTCACAGAGGAGGAGGTCTCAGAACGAGTGACACTTCACATTTGTGCTTCTACAAAAAAGTATCTTTTATTCAGTTGTTTATGGTTTAAAAGTACAAAGTACCAAAATAGTGTTCCTGCAAGGTTTTTTCACTATTTATTTAAATCATCATCTAAAAAATAGTCATAGTTTTGTAAAATTTTTCTGTAAATAACATGGAACTAGGGCTACCAATAATAATAATAGCAATAACGGTTGTTAATCCTGTCCCAGGGTCAGGTCATAAAAAGTTTGAGATCTGAAATATTAAAGGCTCAGGATTCTGAATTTTTTTTTACCAGCTATCTGCACCTGTACATCCAAGCACAGTAGGTTCCCTAGAGAGATCAATGCCTAACTGATGGCTTAGGTAAAGTAATGTTTTAATTATGGTAAAGTTTTCACCTTCAATTTCTATAGATAACGATGTACAATTCAAAGCACAGGTCACAGAGCTGGATGGTGTAGGACATCCAAGAAATTCTTATGTCCTTGGCCAAGATGAAATGACATTAAAAGCCAGTTACAGGGCCTCCATACCTTCTCTTGTCTCACTTTGCCAGGGCAAGGGTACTTCCCAAGCAAGGATCAGTGTCACCAAAGGAATGACACAATCCATGGACTTCCAAAGACAGAATTTTAAAAGTAACCATTCCAGCAGAAGCAGGGTGCCCCCCTCCCCACCCCACATCTTTGGTATTTAACCACAAAGTTTCATATACAAGCTCTTTAATCCAATAAATAGTCTCAGGCTTGACCTCATATAAAACAGTGTTACTTTTTGTTATGGAGAGAGTGTATTTGAGCAGAATTTTTCAAATGCTTTCATTCTATTCATTGCAATTAGCAGGATTTCTGAAAGGTAGGAAGTGATTTTCAAGCATTGCAAGTACTATAGTGACAGCAATTTATATGTATGAGTGTATGTATACACATATATATATATGCATATATATGCCTATCTTTATATGAAGTGTTAGGATTTTGTAAGAACTTTTGGATGCATGCATTTTTTAGTTTATTTTTTGATGGTTTATATTCTTTTAGTTATCAATAATGCCTTTTTTGGTTATTTCATCCTTAATTAGTAAAGAATATTTTGTCGAAGTTATGATATCCATGATCCAAAGGTAAGAAATTTACTCTTTAAAGATTTTTCTGTGTCACAAAGTATTTTCAATCAAAATTCAGCTTTATATTTAGTTTTAATAATTTCCATTGCCATCACTTCCTATTGATGTGTATAACCAAGTGTAATTTTTGTAGTTTGAAGTATGATTAATTGTAGAGGTAAGGACAACTTTTTTGTGTGTGACAGGGTCTCACTGTGTTGCCCAGGCTAGAGTGTAGTGATGTGGTCATGGCTCACTGCAGCTTCCACTTCTTGGGCTCGAGGGATCCTCCCACCTCAGCCTCCTGAGCAGCTGAGACTACAGATGTGCACCCCTGCACCCAGCTAATTATTTTTATTTTGTTTTTGGTAGAAACAGGATTTCACCATTTTACTCATGCTTGTCTTTAACTTCTGGGCTTAAGTGATCTGCCTGCCTTGGCCTCCCAAAGTGCTGGGATTACAGGCCTGAGCCACTGTGCCCAGCCAATTTTTAAAAAAGTGGTTAAAATATCTTTGTTAATCCCCTCCTACCTTGTTTGTGTGTTTAGTTTTATATTTGAGAGGCTGGTAGTAGAAGTGACTGAAGATTTTTGGTAGCTGCAATGCCTACTAAACAAGCTACATGTATTCAGCAAAACCCAGAGTAGCATTTTGCTAATGCTTCTAAAAGCTTTGTGAAAAAGTAACTTCGCAGTGTCATTAGCAAGGATGGGACAGAAAGAAGAATGCCTGTCACCTAGGAGTTGCTCAGTGATTATTTGCGTCACATCAGAATCTTCAGTATTGATATTGTTGAAGCTGGAGGATCAAAAGACCTATCAGAATTCTAAATATGGACATTTCTGGTTCTTTTTCTGCCTACCATTGTGAGGAGAAGTGTTACCAAGGATGTATTTAAGAGTACTGAACTTAACACATGCTTTATTTTGTATTTAGTTCAACCTATAATCTTTTGATTAAGGGTTTAGCCATATATGTTAGATACCCACTTGTATGAGCTACTTAGGTCGTATACTTAATGATGTTTTGTAGATCCATGTATTTTACCTAGACCACGTCATAGCTATTTTTCTCCATTCTCCACTGCTAGAGTTCAGCAAGACCGGCAGATTGGAAGTATCAAAATGGATTGTCATCCTCATGGCTTTCTTTAGAGTGTACAGTTCACATTAATATTCACATCCCACTTTCTGCTACTTCTGTCAGCTATAGTCTGGAGAAAAATACAAAGGTATCAGGGTAAAATGAATTTTCTTCAGTGATTGCTAGTGAACAATCTGCTTTTATTCTGCTTTCATGTGTCATTCATTTTACAGTCTTCACAAATTACATTCTAATAATGTTGTTATACGAGTAAGTAACTTATTACTCCAGCCAACTTAGAAATCGTTAGAAGTGGAACAATGTCATAATGCTATTGTATTTAGTTTAATACCTAAATTTAGTTATTATGGTTTGAAATATGATTAATTTTATTACAGGTAAGGAAAGCTTTCTTGTGTGTAGCAGAGTCTCATTCTGTTGCCCAGGGTAGAGTGCTTTAGTTCATTAATAAATAAAGTAAATTTAGTTATTAAACTAAATACACTAGTATTTATTATGTGCCTATTAAATATTACTATGTGCCTATTTTGTCATTAAACTAAATACACTGGTATTCATTGTGTGCCTATTAAGGCACATAATAAATATTCATTAATTAACATACATAAAATGTAATTAATGTGAGAAGCTATACTGTTTGGACGTTTAGCTTTCTCTTGGTACTCACTTTTTTTGTCTTCCTTTTTCCAGTTCTTTTTGGTATTTCTATACAATTTTTAAATTTTTATTTTATTTTTCTTCATTTTTCACATCGAAGATGTGAAATGGAGCTTTTTAAAAATTATTTGTACTTTTATATTATTTGAGGCTTTTTTCTCACTTTTTTTTTTTTTTTTTTTTTTTTTTTTAAGGAAATGGGCGTTAAATTTTATTTGACTGGTCATGTACTTAAACTCCTAAGTCTGTGGCATAAATGTTATTCTGGGATAAAGATCAGAAAAATACTATGTTATTAAATATCATAAGGTACCAAGAATTGGGGGGTATACTTTTTTTTTTTAATTTGTGAAACTAGATTTAAATGCTGCCTTAATGAGACTTAGGGATTTTAATATTTCAGTTTGTTAGGTGGAAAAAAGTAGAGTCTAGGAAGTTTAATTGAGATGACATTATATCTGAAAGATTTCCATGTTGTCTTTCTGTTAAGAATGGACTTACACGCTGGGCCAAGCAAATAGAAAATGGTGTTTATTTGATTAATGGACAAGTTAAAGATGAAGATTGTGACCTATTAGAAGGACAGGTGAGTTAAGAGAAAATCATCTTATGAAATTGTTAATAAAAGATGATTAATCTTTAGTCCTTGCCTATAAGAAAACTGATTTCATCTACTCATTTCTAATTTCTTTTAAAGTAAAGGGCAAATGTTTTTCTTAGAAAAACAACCCTATTAAAAAGTAGACAGGGGACATGAATAGACACTCTTCAAAAGAAGATATGCATGCAGCCAAGAATCATATGAAAAAAAGCTCAGCATTACTGATCATTAGATAAATGCAAATGAAAACCACAGTGAGATACTATCTCATACCAGTCAGATTGGCTGTTACTAAAAAGTCAAAAAATAACAGATGCTGGCAAGGCTACAGGGAAAAAGGAATGCTTACACACTGTTGGTGGGAGTGTAAATAAGTTCAGCTGTTGTGAAAGGCAGTGAATCCTCAAAGACCTAAAAACAGATACCATTTGACCCAGCAGCCCCATTCTTGGGTATATACCCAAAGGAATATAAATTGTTTTATTGTGAAGACATATGCATGCATAATGTTCATTGTGGCGCTGTTCACAATAACAAAGACATGGAATCAGCCTAAATGCCCATCAATGATAGACTGGATAATGAAAATGTGGTACATATACACCATGGAATACTATGCAGCCATGAAAAAGAATGAGATTATGTCCTTTGCAGGTACATGGATGGAGCTGGAGGCCGTTATCCTTAGAAAACTAGTTCAGGGGCCAACCATGGTAGCTTACACCTGTAATCCCAGCACTTTGAGGGACTAAGGTGTGCGGATCACTTGAAGTCAGGAGTTCGAGACCAGCCTGGTCAACATGGTGAAACCCTGTCTCTACTAAAAATACAAAAGCTGGATTTGGTGGCAGTTGCCTGTAATCGCAGCTACTCAGAGGCTGAGCCAGAAGAATCGCTTGAACCTAGGAGGTAGAGGTTGCATGAGCCAAGATCGTGCCACTACACTCCAGCCTTGGGCAACAGAGTGAGACTCCATCTCAAAAAAAGAAAGAAAAGAAAAGAAAACTAACACAGGAACAGAAAACTAAATACCGTACATTTTGACTTGTAAGTGAGAGCTAAATGATGAAAACACATGGACACATAGAGGGGACAACACACACTGGAGCCTATTGGAAGGTAGTGGGTAGGAGAGGGAGAGGATCAGGAAAAATAACTAATGGGTACTAGGTTTAATACCTGGGTAATGAAATAATCTGTACATCAGACCCCCATGACACAAGCTCACCTATGTAACAAACCTGCACATGTACTCATGAACTTAAAAGTTAAAAAATTAAGTCCAAGAAAAAAAAATGACAATCGGAATCCTGAAACTTTACGGGAGTGTCATCTGATTTCCATCTAATTTTCAAATTGCAAACTGCTCACTTGCAACCAAAGGCCACATGTCATTCTGCCCTGATGGCAGTTCAAAAACTATGGCCATTTTATAAGAGAGGTCTATAGAGGCTTCTAAAATAGCTTTGAACTGAAGGAAGAAGAAGTTTTGTGATCTCTCCCTTATTAGATCAGGGATAAGCAAACTTTATGTGAAGAGAAAAATACTACATATTTAGATTTCACAGGCTGTATTTTTATCTCTACTGTGTAGCATGAAAGAAGCTACGGGAGATACCTAAGTGAATGATCCTGGTTGCAGACCAGTAAATCTTTATTTACAGGGACAGATGGCAGTGCAGATACTTGCCCACAGGCAATGGTTTGCCAGTGGTTGCTTTAGAGGAATAAAAGTACAGAATTAATTGTTTTAAAGAGTGCACATTGATACAGAATACATAAAGTAATATCTATATAAAAAACTAAATTAAAATAATTAAAAGACTTATTTTTTTCTAAGTTACTTAGTGTATATGCAATAGTTTCTAAGTTGTGTTTTATGTTCCATAGTCTTAACAATTTGACTTTTTAACTTTTGTGTTTTTTCAGAAAAAATCTTCCAGAGGAAATACTCAAGCAACTGGTCATTCTTTTGATGTCAGAGTGCTAACACAGTTGGTAAATATTTTATAATATCACTTATTTAAAATAATTATTAAAATGACTGTAATGAAACTGTTTCTGTTTTTATGTTTCTCATTAGAGAATAAAAGAATTTTATTTTTATTTTATTCTTACACTGTAAGAATTTTATTCTGTAAGAGATTGTATAACATATCTAGATATAGGAAGGTTATTCCCAAGAAATGTCATTTTAATAAAATTTGTTTGGGTTTTTTGCCTCAAGTACATTAAAATTTTAACATCAAGTAAATAGTTTAAAAAAAACATGTACATATACATACATACATGTATATGTGTGCATGTTTGTAAATATTTTGGGTTGTAGCTGTTAAAGTTGCAATTTTAACAAATTGAAAGTAAAAGGTGTGTGCACAGGGGTGCAAAGAGTTGTCGGATGCTTAATTTGAGTAGATTTATTAGATTTATACCTCCTAATTTGATAAAAATCACCAAGTATTAGCAAGTTTTATATTTCTGTATGGTTGCTTTATTTTACACATCTTTTCAAAAATTTAAAAGTTGAACTGAATAGAATAGAATTAAAAGCAGTTTGGCATTTGAGGATATTTTAGTTTCTTCTTTTTTTGTGTTTAACAATAGAGTGTTAGTATATTGCAGCCAGGCACAGTGGCTCACGCCCGTAATCCCAGCACTTTGGGAGGCTGAAGTAGGTGGATCACGAGGTCAATATGATTGATACCATCCTGGCCAACATGGTGAAACCCCATCTCTACTAAAACTACAAAAAATTAGCTGGGCATGGTGGCGCACACCTGCAGTCCTACCCATTCGGGAAGCTGAGGCAGAGGAATCACTTGAACCTGGGACATGCAGGTTGCAGTGAGCTGAGATCACGCCACTGTACTCCAGCCTGGCAACAGAGCAAGACTCCGTCTCAAAAAAAAAAAAAAAAATAGAGCATTAGTAAATTGTTATTGGACTATACCACTCAATGTGAGTTCTCAGATTTTTTAATACCTTAGAGGTATTTTAGTCTGATTTTCTACTTGTCTTGATTTTAGAAGTGTCCTTTGTTTTAAGGCTGGCTATTCCGCTGCTTACATGCTCTTCATTAGTTAGGCTTACTTCTTGGTTTATTAAACAATTTAGTTAAGATTATTTTATTAATAGTATAAAATTGTAGTTGGGAGATATATATATAGAGTGTGGGAATATGGAGAGATGAATGGAAGATAATATCATGAGATAATTTGTTGTAGTAATATTATATAGCCTAATATATTTTTGTCAGCCATTCACTGATCACCTAACTGGAAATTTTGAAGTGACTAATATATAAGAAATAGTACTTACTGCCACTTTTCTTCCAGTTAAGTCTTATTGATTTTTTATTTGTCATGTTAAGCTTATCTTTTATTTTCCATACAGTCCTGCTGTCATTAGCCTTACTACAGTGTTACTTTACCTAAATTAGCACAATTCACTGTTAACTGGTCTCTCTTCATCTATGCATTCTTGTCCAAAGTGATTGGTTCTCTAAAACCTTCTGGCTTTGTTGGTATGTCTTTTGAAATACTTTCCATTTATCTATTCTATCCTGTTTATACATTTAGCTTATCATTTCTGAATCATAGTTTACATTCATTCACTTACTAATTTTTTTCAAGAGGTGTTTATTGAGTTTGTCCAATGGCCAGACACTGATTATGCTATTCTCTTTGCTCAGAGTTTCTTAATTGTTCTGTACTGTCTAGTTACAGAACTCCAACTCAGGGTTCTCTATACCCCCAGCATACCTTTTTGTTCTTACTTTCTAGATGTATTATTGCTGTGCCTTTAAAACTCTGTCTTCCTGAACATGTTTCATGTCATTGCTCTTTTCCGTGTCACCCAAACTGTCGAAATCCTATCTGTACATTAAGACCTAGCCCAAATGCCACTACTTGTGTAAGATTTCATTTGGTTACCACAGAAATGGGAATCTTCTCTTTTTCAAATACCTTGTCAGCATTGTAGAAGTTCCTTCACCTGTGAACCAGTTAGGTTCCTAAAGGCTGTTTGTCAGCCAGATTATTCCTAAGTCCAGGTAACCAAAAGAGTTTACATTTGTAGATCCCAAATTGTTTACATTTCTACCAAAAAGGAATGAGTCAGACTTTATATTCTTTAAAACTTTTCCTGACTGAGCATGGTGTAATCCCAGCACTTTGGGAGGCCCAGGCAGGCTGATCGCTTGAGCCCAGGAGTTCAAGATGAGTCTGAGCAACAAATGAAACCCTGTCTCTACAAAAATTAGCTGGATGTGATGGTGTGCACCTGTAGTCCCAGCTACTCAGGAGACAAGGGTGGGAGGATCAGTTGAGCCTGGAAGGTCAAAGCTGTAGTGAGCCGTGATAGCACCACTGCACTCTAGCCTGGACGACCGAATGAGACCCTGCCTCAAACAAAACAAAACAAAACCAACCAACCAACCAACCAAAAAAACCTTCTTTTCTTTGATATGTGTGTGTATAGTCTTTAATAGTCTAGTCTATTTTGGAAAACAGTGCCCTAATATATAGAGATATATGTAAATACACACCCATATTTACATGTAATAATATATAGATGCATTATATGTTAAAAAACATAAAGTACACGTCAAATATGTAAAATAGGGCATTCTTTTTAAAAATAGAGTAGTTTTGTCTACAATAAAAATTTATGGGGTACATAGGGGAAGCCTGTTACTCCTCTTCCAACCGTACCATATTGATATATCGATGAACTCTACATGCATCAAATTGAAGCTTATTCCAGATATCGTATCAGCATCGTCACACTGCTGCTTGATTTGATGATAGCCATTTTTTGAATGGACTCAGGACTTCTGGAGTTGTGTGGTCTGTGATAAATTTTTTGTCAACAAGTCCTTGACCATGTTGTTGTTTAACAACACCTAGAAGATTTAGGTCTGACCTAATTACATTACCTTAGACATTGACTGAATTACACTAGACATCAAATAATGCTCTTTCAGTAGCTACATATTCAAATATTCTACTCTTCCTTCATTATTTTTCTGCATTTATTCCTGATTGCATAAGCACATGGGCCCAACACACTTTTCACAAGTTGTGTGATTTGATTTTTGTTCTTCAGAATTGACTTTGTTGTTGAATGACTTATACTCTGTGTTCTTAGAACATAAATTACTTCCTTACCATGTCCATTTTTTGTTTTTTTTTTTAAATCATGATTTTTATTTCCATTGTGATTATAGGCCTCTATTACAGATTGAGTGTGCCTTATTTGAAGTGCTTAGGACCAGAAGTGTTTTGGGTTTGGGATTTTTTAGCTTTTGTAATATTTGCAGAGTACATTCTGGTTGAGCATCTCTAATCCAAAAATCTAAAATCTTGTACACTCTAATTAGTATTCCTTTGGGCATCACATTGGTGTTCAGTAAGTTTGGAATCTTGGAGTATTCAGGATTTTCAGATTAGGGATGCTCAACCTGTGTAATACTTTAAATATTTTGATATTTTCCTTGTTTTGGCACTTATTAAGATGATGAGGTTGAAAATGAATGTTAAACACCTGAAAACCAAACAAGCAGGCTGACATTCCTTAGACTAAAGAGGAACTGTGTCTAGGGACTGTGAGATGAAAGTGACTGCTCACGACCACTGATGTCACTTTCTGATAGGGGCACAGTTCTCTTGTTTCAGATTTGCTCTGGAGCATACCATTAATTTTAGTCTGAAAGTTTTTGGTTGAAAGTGTGTGAATATATATGTCTGTGCATTGCTTGTAGCTTTACCATAGTTATCACGTCTCACTTTGTATTGTTATTTTTGTAGTTAATTTGCATTGCACACCTTACATCTGCTATATCATGTCTTCTTTATACATCTTTTAATCATTGCAGTACTGATGTGAGTAATTTGCACATAATATATTTTTAGGAATATATTGAGTGAATATTGAACCATTTTAGATGGTTATGTTAGAAAAATTTAGATGTAGCTGTGTTTAATTTCCATATACGTTCAAAATACCTGGAAAATAATATATAACGTGTAAAAACAAATATGAACGCCTTTAATTTATGGAGAATAATTTTAAATGTTTGGCTCAGTCAAAACTTTCTTCTCTCTTCATATAACTGCTAATACAATGTTTAAACATTTCCTGTAGTTAATCATTGTTGGTTATTAGAACTTAAACAGATTTTGTCTTTCAGCTCCTGAATTCAGACCACAGATCCACAGCCACCGTCCAGATATGTAGCGGTTCTGTAAACCTTAAGGGTGCTGTGAAATGCCGAGCTTATATCCACAACAGTAAACCCAAAGTTAAAGAGGCTGTGCAGGTACAAAAAGGAATAACTAGTATATGAAACTGTGTTGACTATTAAAGAAAACTAAAATTTTACCTTTTTTCAATCGTATATTTTGTAATTATTAATTAAATTTTAACTGATAACGGCCTAATCTATTGTGTAGTCCAAATGTACCATGTAATTGGTGTCAAGATTTTCATATGTTGAGTATCTATTTTGTGCCTTTTTAAAAATGATGACTGTACAAGTTTAGTAAGTGTTCTACAGTTGTTCATATTAGTATCTAATTTGGAACACTGGAATTATTTTTTTAGATGCGAAATTTTATTTATTTGGTTTTAATTATTTAGATATGGTCTAGGCAAATTTGTCATTAAACTATAAATTTAACAAGTGTGCTAAATAAGTGGAAATAAAAAATTGAATGCTCTATCAGTTATTTAGTGGGCACGATTATACTGGAAAGCAAATTATGTTTTTTTTTAGGTAAAAAATGTAGATATAAAGTATTTTACTTCTTACTGTGTTTTTGTGTGTTTTTCCCTATAGGCAGTAAAGAGGGATATAATGAACACAGTTGCTGATCGTTGTGAAATACTGTTTGAGGATCTCCTTTTGAATGAAATTCCAGAAAAAAAAGTTATGAGTATAAAATAAGTACTTTTTTTGCATATCTTCAGCTGATATCAAGATATAGCAGATATGTCATCTTTATAGCTACCTATGTTTTCAAACAGTGTATCATCTTTTATTATTGACTGAAAATTTTTCAGTTGCTACTCAGAAATTTTTTTTTTTTTTTTTTTTTTTTTTTGAGACAGGGTCTTGCTCTGTTGCCCAGGCAAGAGTGCAGTGGTGCAATCATGGCTCACTACAGCCTCAGCCTCTTGGGCTCAAGCAGTCCTCCTACCTCTGCCTCCCTAGTAGGTGGACCTGCAGATGCATGCCATGATGCCTGGCTAAGTTTTTGTATTTTTTTTTAAGAGACAGGGTTTTGCCATGTTGCCCAGGCTGGTCTCAAACTCCTGAACTCAAGTGATCCACCATCTTTGGCTTCCCAAAGCCAGGGTGTGAACCACAATGCTCAGCTCTAGAAAAATGTTTTTGAACACTTTGTAATAGCAAATTTGTCAACACTTAACAATTTCAGGGAGGATTTTTTAAAAAATTAATTTCCAGTGAACTTCTGCCAGAATGAGTAAACCTTGTTGACATTTTAAAGTTAATATTTTTTCTTAACATCTATGAGTATTTTAAATAATTTAGCCATAATCAAAATATTGTTAGCGTTAAGTACTATATAGTAGATCCTTTAGTAGGTACTATTTATATAAACTGCACTAGTTGATAATGCTTCTCAGCTGTTACTCTAACAGACTTCATTAGGTTTAAAAAAGGCTGAGTTACAGTACCTTACCCTTTAATAACAATAGCATCTTTTGGGAAACAACTTATACTATCGCAGTAATTTGTATAAAAATTTTTTTTAATCAAAAAGCAAATTAAAATATTGAGTTCACTTTTTAAAGCTACGTCATCATCTCCCATTCTACTTACTGCGACATGACTGGATTTGCAATTCACGTTTAGATATGTACATAATTGAAACGTTGATGTTAGCTTGTTTTCCCCTGAAACAGTCTTGCTGTTGTCGCCTGGGCTGGAGTGCAATGGTGTGATCTCGCCTCACTGCAACCTCCGCCTTCCGGGTTGCAGCAATTCTCTTGCCTCAGCTTCCTGAGTAGTGGAGATTACCAGCGTCTGCCACTATTCCTGGTTAATTTTTATATTTTTAGTTAAGATGGGGGTTTCACCATGTTGTCCAGGCTGGTCTCAAACTCCTGACCTCAGGTGACCCACCTGCCTCAGCCTCCCAAACTGCTGGGATTACAGGTGTGAGCCACCACACCCGACCCATATTAGCTTTTGAAGAGAATATTTTTATGTTCATAGGAAAAAAAGCATAGCTTCTCTATATAACCAACTTCTTTTAGTACTACTGATAGCTGGCATATTGGGTTGGATGGATTAATTGCAATCTTTTTTATATTCCCAGTATTCTAGACTCTATGATTGCCAGATTTAACATTTATCCTTCCCTTAATTCACAACCCTGGAAGAGTTCCATTTACTATTAATTTATAATTTTACTAGAACATGAATTTGAATCTTATTTGCAGCAATTGGATTGAGAGTTTTTGGGAGAGCTATATATAGGACCTGTTCACATGGTCTGTCAGCCTAGCAGCCCCATCTCAGTGTGTCTTTGCTTTCGCAACTTGACTTTGAGTTTGTGGTAACTCCTGTGGTGTAAATCATTGCTTCACTTTCTGAGCAACAGTGTATGTTACAGCTGCATTGTGAGTTTCAGGATTTTCAGGGTATAGGGATGTATCCACCATTAATGTTAAAGATCTACTTTATCAGACACATCAGTATACTCTTCCATTTAAAAATGCTTTATAAAAGTGGTATTACATGCTCGCTTCGGCAGCACATATACTAAAATTGGAAAAAGTGGTATTATATGACTATCCTGGTATACTTTCATATTCAGTTAGTATTTTGAAATTTCCGCTAATATCCAATTAGTAAAATTAATGGCCCCTAACAGCAGTTGTACTATTTGTATGTTAAACTTGATATATTTAGAAGTTAATGTTAGAGCCTAATCCTAAATTTTTAAAAAGTGAAAAAGTTTTTAACCAGTAATTGGGTGGCCTTGCTACCTATGTGAAGAGCATAGACTGCAGTTTGGTGGAAAGAACAAGGACTTTGAAGTTCTTGGGTTCTGTGTCTATTCTGCAGCAAGCCAAGTGACCTCAGGCAAATGACTTTATAAGCATCCCTTCCTTCCTTCCTTCCTTCCTTCCTTCCTTCCTTCCTTCCTTCCTTCCTTCCTTCCTTCCTCCTTCCCTCCCTTCCTTCCTTCCTTTCTTCTTTTTCCTTCCTTTATTCCTTCCTTTTCTTTCCTTCCTTTCTCTTTATCTCTTTCTCCTTTGTTTCTTTCCTTTTTCTTTTTTTTCTTTCTTTCTTTCTCTTTCTTTAATCACATTGGTTTTGACCTTCATTCTGTTGATGGGATGTATCACATTATTAATTTTTATATGTTGAATCATCCTTGAATCTCTGGAGTAAACCCCAGTTGATTATGATGTATTATCTTTTTGATGTCCTGTTGGATTTGATTTGCTAGTACTTTGTTGAGGACTTTTCTGTCTAGGTTCATTGGGGATATTGTCCTGTAGTTTTCTTTTTTTACTGTATTCTTGTCTGATTTTGGTATTAGGGTTATGCTGGTCTCACAGAATGGGTTCAGAGTTCTCTGTGCTTAATTTTTTTTTTTTTTTTTTTTTTGGTAATCATTTAAGAATAATTGGTATCATTTTTTTTATTAAAGGTTCAGTATAATTCATGGTAAAACCATCTAGTCTTGGATGCAATTTTCTTTGTTTGGAGAGTTTTCATTACTGATTTAATCATGTTACTTTTTATTAGTCTGTTCAGGTTTTCTATTTCTTCTTGCTTTCTTTCTGTCTTTTTCTCTCTCTTTTTCTTTCTCCTTTCTTTCTTTCTACAAGACTTTGAAGTTCTCAGGTTCTGTGTCTGTCCTGCCACTAGCAGAGTGACCTCAGGCAAATGACTTTGTAAGCATCCTTTCCTTTCCCTCCCTCCCTCCCTGCCTCCCTCCCTGCCTGCCTCCTTCCTTCCTTCCTTCCTTCCTTCCTTCCTTCCTTCCTTCCTTCCTTTCTTCCTTTCTTCCTTCCTTTTCATTAGAAACAGTGTCTCTCTCTGTCACCCAGCCTGGAATGCAGTAGTGCAATCATAGCTCTCTGCAGCTTTGAACTCTTGGTCCTAAGCGATCTTCCTGCCTTAGCCTCTTAAGTAGCTGGGACTACAGGCAAGGGCCACCATACCTGGCTAATTTTTAAAAAATTTTTTTTGGAGAGACAGAGTCTCTGCTGTGTTGGCCAGGCTGTAGTGCTGTGGCTGTTCACAGGTACGATTATAGCTAAATATAGCCTTGAACTCCTTGTCATAAGGGATCCTCCTCCCTTAGCCTCCTAAGTAGCTGGGACTACAGGTGCATGACAGTGTGCCTGGCTAATCTTTTAGTTTTTACTTTTTTGTAGAGATGGAGCTTTGTTATGTTGTCTCAAACTCCTTGCCCCAAGTGATCTTCCTGAAGCACTGGGAATTATAGCCACTATGACTGGCCCCATTTTCCTGTGTGTACAACAGGAATTATGGTAGCTACTTTTTAAGGCTGCAAGATTAAATGAGATGATGTTTGTAAGGCCCCTAATAAAATTGGTGTAAGCCAAGCCCTCAGCAAGTGGTATTGATACCATGTTAGAGATGATGAAGGAGGAGAATTACGTATGTTAATTGTCTTCAAAACGCCTTACCCTCAATTTTTGGGAAATTTAGCATATTTCAAACAGAAGTAAGATGTAAATTATATCCAACGCTTTAGTAACAGGATAGTTACTCTAACAGTGTATTAGTTCATCTTAGATATCAAGATAAAAGAATACGTTGAAAGTGTGGTAATGTAAATAAATGTAAATTAAAAATTTTTTTTTAAGTTTTAACTTTTGTGGATATATAGTACGTGTATATATGAGGTATATGAGATGTTTTGATACAAGCATGTGATATAAAATAATCATCATGGAGAATGAGTTATCCATCCCCTCAAGCATAAATAAATGTAAATTCTGATGTTGAACTTATACACCAAATTGTTAGATTTTAGATTTTGCCCTCATTTTACTTACCTTATTTCTCTTATACACTGGTTAAATCTTACAGATACTGTAATATAGTAAAATGTAGAGTGTATGCCATAAAGTTAACCTGAATTAGAGTATTTTTGCATGTATGAGGAAGTCTGTAAAGGACATTATAACTTTATATGTCTGATCTCTAAAGTAAACATAGGCTTTTAATTTCGGCTATCCAGATAAAAGAACTTAGTATTTCAATGTCAGGAAAAATTTAAAAACTCCAATTAATCTTTTTACTTATTGTGATTTTCCTCTTTGAGTCCTCTTAAGATATAGCCTAAGCCTTTTTCACTGTTAAAAGTCTTCATTCAAACCTACTCAACTTACTCTCATAGATGACTTGCTCGTGAAAATGTAGGTCATCAGTTATGAAACCTCTCATCTTTGCCCATCCCTACACCAGTATCATCCGTACCACTCCACTGTCTTCCCAGAACATTTGTAATCCTCTGCTGCCTGTGCCCATGATTCTACTCTCTGAATGGTACTTGTCCTGTCCCTTTATGCAGATGTCCTTTTATCCTTTAAGCTTCAGCTCTGCTATTGCCTATTCTAAAAAAGTTTCTATAAAAAATAAATACTTAAATAACTTAAAACTTCCTATAATACTCTGATACCAGCTGGGACATCTAACCAGTAGAAGCTCAATTTTTATTATATTGGCTAAAATTTAAAATTTTTTATTTGTTTTGAATTTATTCAGATAATGTTGAACTAGATACTGTGGCATGAGGTTATTCCTGAAGGAGTCTTCTTTGGAATGCTTTTTGAGATGGGTCTTTTCAAAAAGATTTCTCCTCCCATTTCAACCTAAGACCAACAGAAAATGAGTCTTATTTAGATACTAAATTGGTAATTTAACTTCTTAATTTGAAAATTATAAGTGTTTTTTATTTTTTAATGAGTAATTTAAATTTATTGGAACCAATTCCTTAACGTTTGCTTTTTTTAGCTTGTTATTTTTCAGAGACACCAAGAATTGATGTAGTTTGAAATGTTTTAAAATTTTGCATGCCAATTGCACATGCACATTATGGTCATTTTTGAGTTTTTACTTAATCTGTTTCAAGTAACTGTAGCCCAAAATAAAATAATATAGTCTTAAATTCAATGTGTGGACAATTTTTGTGCTATACTTCAAATTGCAGTAATATTCTTCTACAGCTAGGAGGCAATCTGGTCAAACAGTAAAATTTATCTCCCAGTTCTCATGTGCAAACGAAATAATACACAGAACCTGGAAGGAACGGGTAGTTTAACTCATTGCCTGTCCTGTGATACTTAAGGCATTGTTCGTCATCTTTTGTTTGTAATTATGTAAAGTTACCACTAGTTTCTTGACAACAAAGTCTAGGTTACTATTAAAGTAAGCCCTAGTTTTCTACTTGATCTTTACATTCGTAGCTTTTTAATCATGTCTGTTGCTGAAAGAGGTCATTCTTTTCACAAAATTTCCATCTTTGTGATAGCCATAAGAAGTGTAGTGTTGAACTAAAAAGTAGTTAATTATTTACATGTAACAGTGACTCTTTGTGTTAGAAATTAGGGGAAATAATAATTTCAGTTTGTAAATATTCAAGGAAGAATGAAATATTTAGATTTATTTTTTATAAAAATGATTTAAGCTTTTAACAAAGAAGACAAGCAAACAAGTGAAAATAAATGTTAGTAATAAAGAGTCAAAGGGAAGGTAAAAAAAGAAAGCAAAATGGAGTTGGTAGTGAGATTGGTACACAAAAACGTATGTATGACTTGATGTCCTAAACATGCTTGAATACGAAGGGGGGCTACATCTAGTAAGATGAAATTCATGGTTAGATTAGTACAAAAATATATGCTGTCAGATCCTGTACGCTTGGTGTAAGGCGGCCACTAATTTGGCTCCAAACTTGGATGAAGAAGAGAAAAACCACTATAAAATGTACAGTGCCTATGAGGGTAAAAGAAACAAGAAGGACAATAGTTTCTGACACCAAGGACAAAATTGTCTCGAGTGTCCTTCATAGGGCAGTGTGTCGTATAAGAATGTGTAATCAACATCTTTACATTGAAGGCAATAAGTTTATTTTATTTTTATTTTGAGATGGAGTCTTGCTCTGTTGCCCAGGCTGGAGTGCAGTGGTGCTATCTTGACTCACTGCAACCTCCACCTCCAGGTTCAAGCAATTCTCCTGCCTCATCCTCCTGAGTAGCTGGGATTACAGGCCATCACACCTGACTAGTTTTTGTATTTTTAGTAGAAACGAGGTTTCTCCATGTTGGCCAGGCTGGTCTCAAACTCCTGAGCTCCAATGATCCACCTGCCTCAGCCTCTCAAAGTGCTGGGATTATAGGCATGAGCCCCAACACCCGGTGATAAGTTTATTTTTTGTAGGTGTATCATTTAGATACCTTGCAGAGGCCAGGGGTTTTGAGGTAAAATGGCATTCAGTAACAGCAATTTTGTGCCAGATCAACTAGAAAATGAAAAAACATTGACCTTTTAAGCTTTATTTGTATTTGTTTTTATATACTTATAAAATATGTATCACTGATACCAGTGACAAACCTATCTAAATATTGATAATATTTTTTCTCCTTTTAGATTCTGAAAAAGAGTTCCACATCCTCCCTCGTCGAGTCTTTGTTCCCCTTCCTGGATCCACTGTAATGTTGTGTGATTATAAATTTGATGACGAGTCGGCTGAAGAAATCAGAGACCATTTTATGGAGATGTTGGATCATACAATTCAAATAGAAGATGTGGAAATTGCAGAGGAAATAAACACAGGTCATTATATGATGCTATTTAAGAACCTAATTAGATTACAGCTAAGATTACTATGAGATGCCTAGTTTAAATATCATATCTTTAAATTTTATAAAGCTAGTTCTATTTGACAGTTCAAAATATTAACAGACATTTTTAAATATATGTTTAATTTTTACATGTCTAGATATACAGTGAGTATTTCCTAGGAAATTGAACCAAAATTTGAGATACTAAGGTTTTTTCAAGCTTAGCAAGTAGATCTTAATAAAACAAGTTCAGCATTAAGTAGGTAAAATCACAAAGCTTTAAGGTATTTCTTTTAATATAAAAGTTTTCTCAAAATTCATTATCTTACTTGGTAAAGCATCATGTCAGAACAGAAAGTTTTTAAAATACCAAATCATTCAACATTTTCTACATGTTATTTGCCTTTCTTTTCATATCCCTTTCATCTAATTGGGAAACTAAGCTAAAATGGACAGTTCCAGAAATTAGATTAGTTTTATAGAGCATAGGTTTGCTGTACTGTCTAAGCTTTGCAACACATTTTTGTTCCCTAGCCGTTACTTTCACATTTGCCTTTACACTTTGGAAAACAGTTTTTTTCGCTTTCTTTTTGTTTCTAGTGAGTTCAGGGTATGAAAACATGTCTATAAATAAATATGTAAGTTCCTTTTCTGATTTCTTAGTTATTCCTCTTTGCATAGCTAATTCTTCCTTCTGGAATAGGTTGTTCAATTCAGAGTGTGCTTGAGATTATGGTGAGTCAAGTAAGTATTTGATTGGGGAACTTCAAATCTCTCAGTAAACTGACTCAAGTTGGTTGCAGACCACCCTTTAGTTTTTTTAGCAATGCCAGATTAGCACTGATGAGGATGAAGAGCAATAAGTGTGTTTCAGTGGGGAAAATAAACTATTCTAAATTGCCAGTTCCTGATGTTAAAATAAAATAGCAAATACTTTCTAATCCCATGAAAACTAATATTTTTAAAGATATAACTGTAGAATATTCTCTAGCAGATGGAAAGTGTCTGCTTTTTGAAAGTAGACTGGTAAAAATGTTTACTACTTTCCAAAATTTATTTTCCGTGGTTAGTGACAGCATTATCTCTGCTAACCAAACTTAGAATCATGAGGGCAAGAATTTGTGTTTGTTTTGTTCACTTCTCTGTTGATAGTGCCTGGCAATAGTTCTTGAGCCATTCTGTTGTTGAATAGATCTTATAATGTTGATGGGATCATTAGAATTGACCTAATTTAACCTCTTAATACAGAAAACTATATTCCTAGCAGATGAGGATTCAGATTCTATTCTTTTTTATTCTAAATACCAATCTTCCTTTCTGTAACCTATTCTTTCTTCAGTAATATGCAGCAATAAAACCTGAGTACTGCTTCCTCACTGATACCATGTTTTAAATTTGAGAGCAATGACTGTGTTCTAAATATTTCAAAGCCACATATTCTCACGTACCTTTAACTGTTCTTTTTATTACAGTTTCCAGTCCACGTTTTTTCTTACCACCTTGTTTGCCATCCATAGATTAGAAATTTTAAACCTGTGAGGTCCAAAACCCTTGATGTCTGAGCTGACTTTTAGAAAGTCCACAAACCACTTGAAAGTAATTATATGATTTCTTTCTGAAGAAAAGGTCTATAGCTTTCAAAGAGTTGATAACTCAGAAAAATTAAAAGCTACTTGTTAAATATACTCTGGTTTGCCTTTCTTGAAATATGTTACCCTGAATTGAAGCTTATACTTTAAAAATAATATCAGCTGTTATTTATATATCTGCCAGGCACAGTTTTAAGCATCTTACAAATACTAAATTATCATTCCTTGTAATAACCCTGTAAAGTAAATATATTATTAGTCTTATTTTCCAGTTAAGACAATTGAGGCTCAGAAAGTCCAGGTAACTTTTCAAAGTTACATTGCTTGTCATGGTGGAGCTGGAATTTAAACTTAAGCAGTTTAGTTCTAGAGTCTGTGCTTCTTTTCTAAAAATGTTGTTTCACTGCCTTTCTGTAGGAGATGAATAATGAAGTGTAGTATGATTATTTTCCGTGATCTAGATACATATTTTAGCCTGACATTCTTCATTCCATCCCTTCAAAATTTTCAAGTGTAAATGAATGATGTTACATTATCCTGGTTCAATTTCATCTAGATTATGACAATATAATTTCTCATTTGTTGGCTGGAATCTTGGATCTCTTATTATTTATGTTTATGTGTAAATATAATATAAATTATATATAATGTTTATAATATACACATATAAACATAATGTAATATAAACATTTTTTATGTTTATATGTGAGCAAAAATGTTTATGTAAACATTTGTTTATAAGTAAATATACATTTATTAAAATATATAATATAAACAATATATAAAATATTTTTATAAAATAAAATATTAAAATAGTGTTTATATATAATTTTTCAAATTATTTGTCACATTCTTAGCGCATATCATATTCTTAAACTAAGAATGACTAAGGGTAGTACTGTATGCAAAACTTGCCCCATTCATAAGTTACTTTAAAAGTCAGATATGAAAGAATAGGAAGAGAGAGTGATTTCATCTAGGTTTTTTTTTTTTTTTTTAAATTTTTGAGACAGTGTCTCGCCATGTCGCCAGGCTGGAGTGCAGTGGTGTGATCCCAGCTCACTGCAACTTCTGTTTTCTGGTTTCAAGCAATTCTTCTGCCTCAGCCTCCCAAGTAGCTGGGACTTACAGGCACGCACCACCACACCCGGCTAATTTTTTTTGTATTTTTGTAGAGACAGAGTTTCACCATGTTGGCCAAGATGGTCTCTTGACCTTGTAATCCACCTGCCTCAGCCTCCCAAAGTGGTAGGATTACAGGTGGGAGCCATCACGCCTAGCCTTATCTAGGTTTTTTAAAGAATTTTTAAAAATATTTCTGTCTTAAGAAGTATTTTTAACTCGTTTGATTTTATGTTATATGTTAAACATAATATATAGACTAGTTTGTATTTTATCCACTGCTTTTAAAGTTATATTTTAACAAACAGTTAATAACAGGTTAATATTCTTTCTTTACACTGCTAAGACACTTAAAAAAATTTAGCCTGGGCAGCGTGGTGAAACCCTATCTCTACAATAAAAATATAAAAATTAGCTGTAGAGGCTTCATTTACATCACTGCAGTCCAGCAGAGTAAGACCCTGTCTCAAAAAAATTTTTTTTAATTAAGTAGCTTCGACCACTGTGATGTATTCCTAAGAAGTAACTATTGCAACCTAGCATGACAGTCTCCCAGAAACAAAAGTAAAACCCAATAAATTGAAATTCTTGTGAAACCATTATACATGCATTTCAGAAAACATCTGTCGAGAGAGCAAAAGGGCCTTTGCCTCTCTTGCTTACTGTTGTGTTTCTAGCACTTTACTAAGAGCTTAGCCTTAGCACGTCATAGGTACTCAGTAAATATTTGTTGACTGAATAAATTATTTATTTTGTCAGTCCTAAGGGTTGGGGTCTAAACAACAGCAGAATGCTGATCCTGTCTTCAAGGAGCTAAATATTTTTTTTTCAAGTTTGTGTAGATACTGTATTTTTACTGTCTTCAGACTAGTTCAGACTAGGTTAACACCTTCACTAACCTTTCTTGTAGTTCCCTTTTCTACGCCGTTCTCCTATAATACTTTACATACTTGTAATTAAATCATCAATTGCATATTTAATATTGATCTTTCACATTAGACTGTAAGATTTTTGAGCGTGTTTATTTATCTGTGCCTAAAACCTGATAGGTGTTCCTAAGTATTTGTTACTAAAATAAATGATTCTTAGAAACTACAGCACATCTTGTTTTCACATTTATTTTGTGCTTTAGGAATTATAAGCTTATGCTGGGCCAGACAAGGTTTTTAAGGTTTGTATAGTATAGTTTACTGAACATGATGAAGGTTTAAAAAGGATGTAATAGTCATAGCTGTATGGCTCAGTAGTTCAGAATATTTTCAGGAGTATTGAACATTTAAAAGACATGAAACTGCATCTTTTACATGAAAATGTGTAGCACTAGTTGTTGCCCCAGAAATTTTAATCTAGTTTACAGCATTTAGTATGTCTATTTATCAGATGTTTATTAAGCTTATGCTCTGTTCAAGACGATATGATAGATATGAATCAATAACTTGATTCCTTTCCCTTTGAAGCTTAGAGGAAAGATAGAATGTAAATGCATGAATAGTTATGCAGATAACGTTGTAAGGTCCTAAGAGTGCCTAAGAACTCCGTCAAGATTAGGGATCAGAATTTTGGTGTCTCTAGTGATTTGGCTAATAATTTAATCAGGAAAAAGTCTTATAAGCATTAGCAGTAATCTATGATATATAGTAACAAAGTTTTGGCATTGCTATTTTAAAAGTTCAGTAAATTATTTCCCTTTTTTTATTCTTTATCACAGTTGAGTATCCCTAATCTGAAAATCTGAAATCTGAATTGTTCCAAAATTTGAACCTTTTTGAGCATTGATATGGTGTTCGAAGGAAATGTTCATTAGAGCATTTCAGATTTTGGATTTTTGGATTAGGAATGCTAACCTGGGGTACTGCAAATATTCCAGAATTCAAAAAAAATCTGAAATCTGAAACATTTATGGTCCCAAGCATTTTGGACAGGGAATACTCAACCTGTACTACTTTTATGTTTCACTTCAACTGAAAGGTCACTGAAAGCACACACGAGTTTTATAAATGGATGCTTCGTAGTCTACAGGAATAATTTTACTTGTATTGAATGTCCCATAGTTTTGAATGATGTTTAGTTTTGCAAATAAATGAAAGTTTTAATGTTAGCCTCAAAACATTATAATTTTTTCCCATTATTGTCAGATGTAAATGCTATTATCTAATGAATTGCTTTTATCATTTACATATGTACTAAATATATTTTAGTCCTCTTTTCTCGGCTTCCGTCAGTAAGCTTTATCGTTAGCGTTATTTGTACCTTGTTAAATATTAGCATGAACCAGTAAATATGAAATATCTTAAAATAACTTAAAAATCTTAGATAACATATAAATATTATTACATAGGTCTGTTTTGTGGATTTTAATTTTCATCAACCTTTAACATGAAAACTTGTATGTTTCACACTTTATTTAAAAATTATTTCTTGTCTTTCTTTTTTATGCTGACAGTCTAGTATAGAGATGGATTAACAGTAGGAAGAGTTTAATATTACAAGAACAAAGGAAGCAAAACAGCAATTTGGAAATTTTAGGTGTGTATACTTACATGTATGCCACATTAAACTCGTGGTTTCTAGATACTACACATTTTACTAATATTGTATAATATATTGAAGATACTACTTCAGTGTGGTAGGTATGATCCTTTCAGGATAGTGCCCTGTTTTTAAAACTTACATGAATCTCAGGTGAGTGAGTGATTGATGACTATCTTTTGGCTGCCTATTAGGTATTAGGCTTTAGGAGTTTAGAGATAAAGTAGATAGTCCTGACTCTCAAAAAGCACACAGTGCAATGGGAAATACAAAGGAATGGTTTATTCCAAAACAAGGTGGCCCATATACTTCAATGTGCTGATCCCTGGTTTTATTATTAACTAATTCTTTGAAATTATTAACTGCTAAAACCACTAATAATTCTATAACAGAAGAATGAACAGGGAAGTACCAGAACTCTGAGCAGAGGCACTATCTCTAAAGGATTCAGGGAAAGCTTCTTAGAGCTTTTGAATTCATTTTGAAGGATGAATACAAGTAAAAGTAGCTTTTTAGGAATTGAACACTACTATGAGATGTATAGCAACCAAGAATATGACTTACCAGAAGTGTACTAGTTTTGCTTCATCAAGTATTTGTTAAATTAGGAGGAATGATTTAGTAATTCTGCATATTTATTATAAAGAACACATTCTCAAATAGAATAATAACATACATTTTCATAGAAAAATTAAGTGCTTTTACATAAACATCCTATTGGTTTAGAATTATATGCACTTATTCACTCATTTACTCATTCATTTTTTATTCATTTACTCAAAGATATTAGATATCATAATTTTATGAAGATAATGTCCAGGGTCAGGCCTGCCACTTGTAACTGTGTAACCTTAAACAAGTTCCCTCCGAGTCCTAGATTCTCTTAAGAATTTGGTAAAACTGTTGGGGAAAATACCTTCTAAACAGAAAGAGATATATGAATGGAGGATGATATTAACACATTATTATACTTTTAAATACTGAACCTCTGACTTGTAATGAAAAATACTAATATTCAAGTGTGAAATGTTTTATAATATGTGTAAGTTTTCCTATATAAATATTTGAAATTAGAGTTTCCATATAAAATAAACCATAAAAAAGTGGAGCTCAAATGTTCAAATTCAAAAATTGAAATCAATTGCTACACGTTTAAGAGCATTAAATGTGTTACAAGCATTTTGCTTTATCTTCTAAGTATTTAAAATTACAGGTTGAATATTCCCTAATCTGAGTGTGTGAAACACAAAATTCTCCAAAATCAGAAACTTTTTGAGCACGAACATGATACTCAAAGAAAGTATACTCATTAGAACATTTTGCGTTTTGGATTTCAGATTAGGGATGCTCAGACAGTAAGTATAATGCAAATATTCCAAATTTTTTTTAAAAAAGGACTGAAATCTAAAACACTTCTGGTCCCCAAGCATTTCAGATAAGGGATATTAAACTTGTGTTATTTACCTGATTATTACTTATTTCTGCTCTATAGTATAGTTACCAAGTCGTTGCTATGTTTAAAATACGTATTTGCCAAGTATCTTAAAATAACATACTTTTAAATGACTTAATAGATGAAGAACAGTTTGTCAGAATGACTCACTTGAGGTGTGGGATAACTATGGGTTTGAAATTTCTTAGCTGTGCTAGTCATCTACTAGTAGATATTAACTTAAGTTCAATGTATTTTATCAACAGTACCACCTAAAAAATTTGAAGTCACACCTTTAAAATCTGGTGAACCTCATCTTTGCCAATACCAGAGCTGAAATTAATTTTTATCATTTGGTTAAACATTGATGAAAAGGAAAAATGAGTAATAACAAAGATATAATTTTATGGCCACATCCCTGAATATAATGATACATCAGTAATTTAGGATTTAGGGATTGGAAGAACACAGCCAGCTAAGGAGTTCAAGTCTTAACTATTTCATTTTAAGCTTCTGAATAGTCCTGCCTATTACCTATCAGCAGCTTGGAATGAAATCTGAACACGTCTGCAACTTTTGCATGCATTCACCGTGGTCCTTGTTTTCTTTTTTTATTGCTGCTCATGAAGATTGCTTTCTTAACATGATCAATTTTTGATTTGTCTGAATTTAAAATTACTTGGCTTTAAGGAATGGTTGAGATCTAATGCTGTATTGAGTCACTGTGTTATTTGCATTTAAATTTCATATATTAAAATATTGGTGAAATAGTAGTTGAGATTTGATTTAAAGCCCTACAAGCTCCCACCAAAAATAAACAGACAAATAAATTGTTGTGGTAAGGGCTTATTCATGATTGAAAAAATTCTGCTTCGGTAAAATTACCTCAAATTTATATCAAACCATCTGATTTTGTATGACTGATTTAAAAATAGAAAAAGCAGGGCAATGGAATGTCTGTTATGAAAGTAAATTATTTGTGCAGGGTATAGCTGTCTAGAGCATGATCTTTGTATGTAATAATTGAATATTAAATATATAAATAATATGACAACTAAAACAATTTTATTTTCTTTGTATGCAAGTATTCAAGTAAAAAAGTTCCTATAGCAAATAGGTATAATTCATACCATCTATTGTTTTTGTTACTGATGTGAGGATTTTATTGGCCCAAATATTTAAAAAGAAAAAAAAAAAAAAAAACAACCTTTTTAGCAGAGATATTTGCTAATAGCAGAGCCAAAGTTTGTTTTTGCTTTCATTTAATGTAGAATTGTATTAGCCATTCAACTTTTAGACCTATGGACTAAAGCTGGAAGACATTTTATATTACTGGGCTTATGTAGTCTAGAACTGAGGTATGATAGCCCTTGAGAAAACTAGAAACTGGAAATATAGAAGACTAGATATTCCTAGAGACAGTTCATAAGAATTTGTTGTTCTTTGTAACTGGTTTGATGTGAGAATAGAAAAAAGGAGAGTTTTTTGGTTGGTTGTTTTTAAAGTATTTAGTTACATTCTTGAAGACGAAAAAGAAAAAAAGAATGGTGGTGCCCTTGATTCTAATAAGATAATTTTCTGGGAATTATTTATGAAAATCATAAACTTGATGAGAAATGAATGAGAAGTAAGTAATTTTTTTTCCTTTTCTTCCATGTTGCTGTCATAGATACCTTTTTCAGTAAGTTCATATGTCATTCTTGTGAGCTTGCGCTAGTATATTGGGGTCCAAAAATGTCTATAAAAACGTAAATTCAAACAATAGGCTATTTTACTTTGAATTTAAATAGTCATATTTACTATCTCTCACTCTTGAATTCCCTCTCTCTCTCTTTTTCTTTGAGGTGGTGGGGGGGAACAGGTAAATAAAGAGATAAATCTAAAATAGTTGCTTTCATAACCTAGTTCCCTAGAGTTCTATAGAGTAGCTTTCTACTGTCACCTCTAGGACAGAAGGAGCTGGTCTGACTCCAGGAGTCATCCCTCCCAGCTTCAGCCTGGCTGGCATGCTTTCATCTCTTTTACACACTGGGATTTTCTGTCAGATTTTCTTTGGTTTCATAGGATTCTTCAGCCGTAGGGGAAAAAAATTGGAAACTATTGGCCTGCATGGACTCTAAGGATGTTATCAGTTCACACACTTTCATTCAGTGTTAAATAAATTCGAATAGGCCAACATGCATAAATTGCTGTCAGCATAATGGAGAAGAAAGAGAACTTGTGTCCAACTCATCAGTCAAATGCCTGATGGTCAGCTATGTACCTACCCTCCCAGGTTTTGTTTTTCATTTGTAAAGTGAGATGGTATCCTTGCCTTGCTTAGCATTCAGAGTGGTTTTAAGGTCAAATTTTTTTATCATAGTTTAAATTTCAAGTTGGATAAAGAGTCAGCAAACTTTTTTTGTGCAAGTAACAAATATTTTAGGCTTTGTGAGCCACATAAAGTCTTTTTCACATTTTTTAACAGTCTTAAAAATATAAAAATAGATGTTTACTTTAAGACCTTTACAAAAATAAGTCTTGAGCCAGATTTCGCCCATGTACTACAATGTGCTGGTCCCTAATTTTATTAATACCTAATTATTTGAAATTATTAATCGCTAAAACCACTAATAAGAATGATATAAATTAGGCCAGGCACAGTGGCTCAGGCCTGTCATCCCAGCACTTTGGGAGGCTGAGGTGGGTGGATCACTTGAGGTCAGGGGCTCAAAACCAGCCTGGCCAACATGGCGAAATCCCATCTCTACTAAAAATCCAAAAATTAGGCCAGGCGTAGTGCCTCATGCCTGTAATCCTGCACTTTGGGAGGCCAGGGTGGGTGGATCACCTGAGGTCAGGAGTTCGGGACCAGCCTGGCCAACATGATGAAACCCCATCTCTACAAAAAATACAAAAGTTATCTGGGCGTAGTGGCGCATGTCTGTAGTCCCAGCTACTCAGGAGGCTGAGGCAGGAGAATCGCTTGAACCTGGGAGGTGGAGGTTGCAGTGAGCTGAGATCATGCCATTGCACTCCAGCCTGGGCAGCAGAATGAGACTCTGTCTCAAAAAAATAAATTAATTAAATGAAAATACAAAAATTAGCCAGGCATGGTGGTGGGTGCCTACAATCCCAGCTACTCCGGGGGTTGAGGCAGGAGAATCACTTGAACCTGGGAGGCGGAGATTGTAGTAAGCCGAGATTGTGTCACTGCACTCCAGTCTGGGTGACAGAGCCGGACTCTGTCTCAACAACAACAAAAAGAATGATATACATGAATCTCAAGTAATAGTAAAGTTTACTCTGCTATGAATTTTGGCAAAAATTTACTACCGTATAGTAAACAAATTGTAATTTTTTTCTTTTTTTAATATGGAGCCTCTCTGTCACCCAGGCTGGAGTACAGTGGCACTATCACAGCTCACTATGGCTTCCGCCTCCCAGATTCAAGCAATTCTGCCTCAGCCTCCTGAGTAACCGGATCTATGCCACCATGTCCAGCTAATTTTTTTTTGTATTTTAGTAGAGATGGGGTTTCACTGTGTTTCCCAGGCTGATCTTGAACTCCTGAGCTCAGGCAATCCGCCCGCCTCCCAAAGTGCTGGGATTACAGGCGTGAGCCACCGCGCCTGGCCAACAAATTACGATTTTTGAAAGTTACTCAGAACTGGCTGTGTGGCCGTCTGGCTTAGTTCAATGATAAAGCCACATTAAATGTTTTGAAAACTGTCAATTTGACATGTATTCCATTAAATTTAATTCACCTACAGTTGATAATGAACAAATTCGTTGTTATATAAAAAACAAGTAGAATGAAAATGGTGTTGATTGTTTTTTATAATGTTCTTTAAAACTCAGTTTAAAGTGTTAATCCTTATTTTATGTAGACTTTATTATTATTATACTCTTTCAGTTTGTGTGAGTTCCTCTGTGAATAGTCAAGCTTCATTGGACAACACAGATGATGAACAACCAAAACAGCCAATTAAAACTACAATATTATTGAAAATTCAGCAAAACATAGGTATTTAATTTTATTTCTTTTATAACACTGAAAACATATTTGGACTTGAGTTTTCCTGTTACTTTAAAATTATTTGTATTTCATTTTGCTTTCTTAAGAGTGCTAGACTTAGCCAGTATTTATTGGGTATTATGGATGGAAAGTGTCAGGCCCTAGAGATAGGAAGATTTAATAATTCATACGTTGTCATCCAAGTGCCCTCAAAGATGACACATCTTATTAATTTTTAAAATGTTTTTAAAAGAAAAAGATGCAGAGTTTTGGGAATCAGTTAGTATGGTAGAGCTAATGCTTTATAAACTGGTATTCCTAGAATTACTATGGCAGGAGATTTTGATTTGTGTTCTATGACAAAAAATGTCAAATTGAAGTCAAGAATTTTATAATATAATTTTATATTTTAAGGGCTCTAAGGAATGCAGAATTACTGTAACATTTTTCAGACTTTTTGAACAAAGACTATTGTTTAGCAGAATAACAGTTTGAAATATACTATTAAGACCTGACTGAGAGTTAGGACCCAAAAGATTTAATTGTAGTTCTTATCATTCATTAAATTTAATTAAATTTTTTGTGCATGTGTGTGTGTGTATGTGTGTGTCTGTCTGTATTGTCTGTCTAGACTACTATGGTCAGTTTCTTTCTTTAGCTTACTATAATCAGGAAAAAATAAAAGTTACAACTAAGATGTGCTAATTCTTAGATTTTATAATGGTCAAACATGGACTTCTGCAGTTTTTCAATAGCTACACCGTGGCTTTACGTTATAATGACTGAGAACGACTGCCTACTAGCGCTGCCTTTTTTTTTTAACCTAAGTAGCGTAAGACAGCTGGTATGCCAATATAAATAATTATATAAGCCCTTTAAAGTGTTTGTTATTTTTTCTCTTAGATACATCTCAGTGCACATGTGTGCAAGAGAGATACTTTGCCCAACATTCGAAATCTAATTTTTCAACTTATTGCTATATTTTTCTCTAAGATGTTGCAGCCTTTTAGTACATACATATGTATGTGTACGTATGATTGTGTGTTTATGTATTGCTTTTGAGGCCCATCAGTTACCCACATTTCAGAGCCTAGGATTAGTTCAGCCTTTCTTTTGCTCATTCCATTTTCATTTGTTTTGTGTTTGTTTTACTTTTAGGTGTGATTGCAGCATTTACAGTTGCAGTCCTTGCTGCCGGTATCTCCTTTCATTACTTCAGTGATTAGGGTGAGGCACAAAGATTTTCTTGATCATCCAGAGAACATTGACAGACAATTATGAACAATAAAGATGCTGACAGTCAACCTATATTTAAAACAGTAGCAGCCAGATCTGCTGCCATGATGCCTATTAGGTGTGTTTCTGACTAAAATGAAATCACAAGCTGCCTTGTTTAGCCTGCTTTAAATTGTAGGTGGCCCACATTTCCAAAAATAAAGTTATGCTTCTAGATGGAAGCTGCATGTAACAAATCATTATTATTTTTTAAAAGGTTCAAAATGATGGGATATGATCATAGATTTTTAGTCTTACTAATCTGAATCACATATTAATCAGGACATTAAAACTTGAACAGAGGCCAGGCATGGTGGCTTACACCTATAATCTCAACACTTTGGGAGGCTGAGGCAGGAGGATCACCTGGGACTAGGAGGGAGTTGGAGACCAGCCTGTTGATATAATGACGTTCCGTTTCTACCAAAAAAAAAAAAAAAAATACCTGGACATGGTGGCATGCATCTCTAGTCCCAGCTACTTGGAGGCTGAATCAGGAGGATCACTTGAGTTTGAGGCTGCAGCAAGCTATGATTGCATCACTGTACTCCTGCCTGGGTGACAAAATGAGACCTTGTCGCTAAAATAAATAAGTATATTTTAAAAACAAAAAAAAAATAGTAATTTCAACAGTCAATGTTGATGCAACATCTAATAATAATAGGGTACCAGGAGAAATTTCTACCGAGTAATGAGACGACCACCTTAGGATAGGTTCATCCTCTAGGACCTTCCTAATGTTCACTCAATTCCCATATACTGTGAGTTTTGTTCTGATCAAGGGGTAGGGAACCTTTCCAAAGAGATTCTGTTAATAAGAAATGACATAAAATATGTGCTTTCTCAGGTTACTGTATCATAATTTTAAAAATATATTTAATATATAAAATAAGATTTTTGCTTCCAGCAAGGTTAGACTAGCTGTTAAAAAACAACTAGATCTTGAATAAATTCTACTTTTGAATAGGTTCACAAGAAGTAGGAGAACTTTCAAGAACCATACTTCTACCTTTCCTCTGCCACAAACAATGAACACATTTTAAGGTAGGAGTCATGAATACTATATTAACCATACAAGTGGACTGTGATTGTCTGGATGGCAGATACCAATGGCAACACTGCCGTATGCAGTTTGTCTCAAATCAGAAACAAGAAGAGATGTGAACCTGAGATGCTGCCCTAGACAGGACAGTTAAAGAAGATTGAGTGGCCCTCAGTTTGTAGTGCTCTACCTCCTGGCAGAAGAAAGAGAGAAACATTCCTAATTTAGTTCCAAGACTCCTACAGATTATTATCAAGTAGTAGTATTTTATGACTAGAGATCAGAGGCACAAGGTGAAACAAGCTAACATGTCAAGGGAGCTATAGAAAAAATAAACATTGAACTCAGTTCTTCAAGGTTTCATCACCAAGATAAGAAATGAAGTTGGAACAATAGGCAGATCTGAAAAAGAACCAAATAGAACTTGAAATGAGAAATATTTATTGAAATAAGAAAAAATCCCTCAGATATATTGAATATTATATTAGACTCAGCTGGAGAGACAAGTGAACTATAAGCTGGATCTAAAGAAATTACCCAATGAACAACAAGGAGATAGAAAACATTAGAAAATTAAGAGAGCTGGAGGGAAGAATTACAAAGACTAAGAATACTAGAAGGTATTCTTAAACAATTGTAAAACTAAATAAACATTAGAGAATGAAGGAGAGGCAATACTTGAAGAGACAACACAATTTTCCAAATTTGTTGAAAAAACGTGAATTCATAAATTCAGGAAGCACAGTATATACCAAACATCTAATTAAATAAAATCCAGGCCCAGACTCAAGATAGTAAATGACAAAATACCAAACACAAGATTTTGAAAGCAACCATGGGGAGAAAAAGATCAACAATGAAGGGAAGGCAGTCAAATACTTAGTAGGCTTCCTACCAACAACAGTGTACCCCAAAGAGGGTAGAATTCTGAGAAAAACTATTAGCTTAGAATTTGCTACAAGCAAAACTGAAACAAACACATGCTGAGATGAAAAACAGATATTATCTTCAGTAGAACTTCAGCAAAAAGACTACAAAAGAATGATCTTCAAAAAGGAAAATGATTCTAAAGGGTGATCTGAAATTGAACTAGTGAGCAAATAAATGATAAACATGTAAATTTAAACTGTTGTTTCTATAAAACAATTATAATGAAAAGTATAAGAAATTGTAAACAATTGTAAAACTAAATAAACATTGTTTTGCAACATTAGTAATGTCGAATTTTTAAATAAGGATATAATTGAAAAATGACAATAGCTGCTGGCTATTGTGTGTGATTGGAATTAGAGTGTTCTGAGTTCTTTTATTCAGAAAACTGGTTAAGATGCTGTTTAACCTTAAAATTGATTATAATGAATATGTGTATAGTCAAAGTTCAAGGGTAATTGCCACAAGAATAGATAGAGGATTGGCCAGGCACGGTGGCTCACTCCTATAATCAGCACTTTGGGAGGCTGAGGCGGGCAGATCACTTGAGGTCAGGAGTTTGAGACCAGCCTGGCCAACATGGTGAAACCCTGTTCTACCAAAAAATATCAAAAATTATTTGGGCATGATGGCATGCTCCTGTAATCCCAGATACTCTGGAGGCTGAGGTGGGAGAATCACTTGAACCTGGGAGGCAAAGGTTGCAGTGAGCCGAGATTGTGCTACTGCACTCCAGCCTGGGTGACAGAGGTGAGTTAGGCAATATACACTCTTGTTTAAAAAAGAGGAAAAATGAGAGATACATAGCAGTGAATGGTTCATAGCAATTCTGAACTCCAATTGGGCACGTTTTATTCCTCCTGATTCTGGGAGCAGAGAATGTATGTCGATTAGGGTCTAATTCTACTTGAAAGTGGTTCTTAGTTCTTGGCTCTTCCCTGTATGGTCTTTATTTTACTCTGAGCCATCTTTTTCCATGAGAAATTGCTTTGTGTTTGAAGCTGAGTAGCCGCCTCAAACTGCTTCTTGATTTTCGGAGGTTGAAGGCCCAGAAGTCTCTTCAGCTTGAACTGTGTCTTTTTTAGTGTAAGCTGATGTAATTCATTTTAAAACCTCTTGTGTTCCCTTTGAATTAACTTATAATCCACTCCATTAGACAAAATCCACACTCGTCTCTTCAAGACAGGCCTCTCTCTAATTTGAACTGAGAGGATGTTGAGGAACAGCACCCTTAACTATCTTAGATACTCACTATCGAGCAGATTGATCTACAAAATGTGCTCATAAGATTCTTAGAAGTCTTTTTGTCTATCTAAGAGGTCTGTGACACACTGGTTTAAATATTTCTGAAACCTTAAAGGATATTACAGATGCACCATTGATTCTAAATTATCCTAATTCTATGCTTTACTAACAATTCTCAATTTGATCTTTGCCAAGGTGATTTCTTCCTTGAGAACCTCTTGCTGGCTGGAAAAAATATTTTCTTTGCACATTTTGTATTTTCTACAGATTTTGCTCCAAAACTGAAGTTTCTTATTTAGTTCTTGTAGCTAGAAGTAGTCAGGTGGCATTTTCAATGTTTGCCTGGAAGTGTCCTTAGATAGATTCACAAATTTATTAGGTTACATTTTCCCTTTAGCAATTGCCATGAGCTTATTAGTTCTACCTTTCAGATTATTGCAAATGTTAAGTGTTATCTTTCTGTTTTCTCATTGATCTTCTAGCCACCACTGTCTGCATCTCCTGTTCAGTTCCAAGTTGAGGCTACATAGGTTTTGGGTTTGACCCAATGCCACCCTATTTCTAGGGACCAGTTTCTCTCTCAGTTATCTTTTGCTCCACAACAAACAACCTCAGAACTTAGTGACTTAAACCAACCATTTTGTTAACTCCTCAATCTTTGCATAGATGGAGCTTAGCTGACTCAGGTCAGTGGCTCTGCTCCACATGATGTTGGCAGGGGCATTCAACTATCTAAAGGCTGTGATTTGCAAGACAGTTTATCCACGTGGTGTCAGCTTATCTGATTTTCCTTCACTTGACTTTTCCAAAGAGCTTGGCTCCCCACAGCATGGTGATTGAATTCCAACTGGGAGCATTCCAAGAGATAAAGGAGTGGAAACTGTCAGTCCTCTTAAGGCCAGGTCTTCTCAGAAGTCCCAGAATGTCACTTTGCATTCTACTAGTCAAAGCAAACACAGGTCCAGCCCACTTTCATAGGAGGGGAAAAAGGAGCCCATATCTCACTGGGGAAGTGGCACATTCTTATAGAGAAAGAATTGATGGCAGTCATCACAGGAGATTTGTAACTATACATATGTAGTATATGTCAAAAAAAGAAGATTGAAAATATAAGCATATCTCAGAGATACTATGGGCTGGGTCCCAGACCACCAAACTAAGCTAATATCAAAAGTCACATTTTTTTTTGTTGTTTTCCCAGTGCATATAAAATTATTATTATACTGCAGTCTAATAAGTGCACAATAGCATTATGTCTAAATAACAACATATATACCTTAATTTTAAAATACTGCTAAAAAAACCTGACAATCCTCTGAGCTTTCAGCAAGTCATAATCTTTTTGATGGTGGAAGGTTTTGCCTTGATGTTGGTGGCTTCTGACTGATTTGGGTGGTTGTTGCTGAAGGTTGGGGTGACCATGGCAATTTCTTGAAAAAGAAAATGACATTTGCCACATTGATTGACTCTTCATGAAAGACTTCTCTGTAGCAGGTGATGCTGTTAGACAGCATTCTACTGACAGTAGAACTACTTTCAGAATTGGAGTGAGCCCTCTCAAACTGTTTGGCTCCTTTTTCAACTAAATTTATGTGATACTCTGAATCCTTTGTCGTCATTTCAACAGTGTTCACAGCATCTTTGCCAGGAGAAGACTGTCTCCAGAAATCACTTTCTTTGCTCATCATTAAGAAACAACTCCTCACTCATTCAAGTTTTATCATGAGATTGCACCAATTCAGTCACATCTTTAGTGACATTCTGGTTCTTTTGCTAATTCTACCACATCTGTAGCTATTTCTTCCACTGAAATCTTGAACCTCTCAATTATTCATGAGGATGGGAATAAACTTCTTCCAGACTCCTGTTAATGTTGATGTTATGACCCATTCCCATGAGTCACAAATGTTCTTAATGACATCCAGAATGATTAAGCTTTTTCAAAATATTTTCACTGTACTTTGTCCAGATCCATCAGAGGAATCACTATCTTTGGCAGCTGTCACCTTACAAAATGTGTTTCTAAAATAATAAAACTTGAAAGTCAAAATTACTTCTTGATCCATGGGCTGAAGAATGGATATCATGTTAGTAAGCATGAAACAAACATCAATCTCTGCATGTCTCTATATGAGCTCTTGGAATAATATTTTGAAAGGAATCTTTTTCTGAGCAGTAGGTCTCAACAGTGGGCTTAAAATATTCAGTAAAATATGAGAAAAGCAGATGTGCTGTCATCCAAGCTTTACTTTTCATTGATAGAGCATGGACAGAGTAGACTTTGCATAATCCTTAAGGGACCTAGGATTTTTGGAATGGCAAAGGAGCTTTGGCTTCAACTTAAAGCCACCAGCTGCATTGGCCCCTAAAACAAGAGTCCGTATATCTTTTGAAGCTTTGAAGTCAGGCATTGACTTCTCCTCTCTGGCTATGAAAGTAAATGGCATCTTCTTCCAATAGAAGACTGTTTCATCCACATTGAAAATCTATTGTTTAGCTACCTTCATTGGTTATCTTACCTAGATCTTCTGGATAACTAGCTGCAGCTTTTACATCAGTACTTGCTGCTTCACCTTGCACTTTTTGTTATTGTAATAACTTCTCTCCTTAAACCCCATGAACCAACCTCTGCTAGCTTCAGACTTTTCTTCTACTACTTCCTTACCTCTCTTAGCCTTCCCAGAATTGAAGAGAGTTAGGGCCTTGCTCTGGATTAGACTTTGTCTTAAGGGAATGTTGTGGCTGGTTTGATCTATCTAAACCACTCAAACTTTCTCCATATAAACAATAAGCCTGTTTCACTTACTCATATGTTTACTGGAGTAGCACTTTTAATTTATTTCAAGAACTTTCTCTTTGCACTCACAACTTGGCTGTTTCTTGCAAGAGGCTTAGCTTTCAGCCTGTCTTGTCTTTCAACATTCCTTTCTCATTTAGCTAAATCATTTCTAGCTTTTGGTTTAAAGTGAGAGACATGTGACTCTTTCACTTGAACATTTAGAGGTCATTGTAGGGTTATCAAGTGGCCTAATAACAATATCATTGTGTTTCAGAGAATAGGGATGGGGAAAGACAGGGAAATGACTGATCGGTTGAGTAGTCAGAACGCATACAATTTTATCAATTAGGTTTACCATCTTATATGGGCATGGTTCATTTAGCCCCAAAACAATTACATTAGTAACATCAAAGTCACTGATCACAGATCACTATAAGAGATATAATGAGGCTGGGCACGGTGGCTCATTTCTGTAATCTGAGCACTTTGGTGGGTAAATCACTTGAGCCTGAGAATTTGAGACCAGCCTAGGCAACATGATGAAACCTTGTCTCTACAAAAACAACACCACCAAGCAAAAATTAGCTGGATGTGGTTGGCACTTGCCTGTAGTCTCAGCTAATTGGACGGCTGAGGTGGGAGGACTGCCTAAGCCTCAGAGGTGGAGGTTGCAGTGAGCCATGACAGTGCCACTGCATTCCTGCATGGGTGACAGAGTAAGACTCTGTCTCAAGTAAAAAAAAAAACATAATAAAAATGAAGAAGTTTGAAATATTACAAGAGTTACCAATATGTGATATATAGAAAATGAGCATAGGCTGTTGGAAAAATCGCACCAATAGACTTGCTTGATGTAGGGTTGTCATGTGTATAATCCCAACACTTTGGGAGGCTGAAGAGGGTAGATCATGAGGTTAAGAGTTCGAGACCAGCCTGGCCAACATGGCGAAACCCCATCTCTACTAAAACTACAAAAAATTAGCCCAGTGTGCCTGTAATCCCAGCTACTCGGGAGGCTGAGGCAGGGGAATTGCTTGAACCCAGGAGGCAGAGGTTGCAATGAGCAGAGATCACGCCGTTGCATTCCAGCCTGGGTGACAGTCTCAAAAACAAAACAAAAAAACCTTTTACTTGTTAAAAAAAAATGCAATTTATCTGAATTTCAATAAAGCCAACTACAATAAAATAAGATGTGCTTGTTTAGGAGAAAGAAGAGACAAAGAGATCCCTAAGAAATAGTTACTACTAAAAAATAATCC